AGAACTAGTATTTCATTTTTCAAGTAATTAGGGGACTAATTTTGTAGAACTTTTGTAATGGATTGTCTGACAGTTGTTGTAGTATGAATTATTTTGGATGGCTGTTTGGTCCTACGACATAAGTGACGCAAGATGGCAAAAGCTAGTTCAGAATTCTATATTCCTACTGGAATTTGGTCATATACCAGTAAATGAGCACTAATGGTACTCCCCAAATAATTGAAGCAATTAACACGCTCAACTACGTCACTTCCAAACATTAGTCCAAGTGCCCATGGAGCGTTTTGCATTTCGGAGGGATGCATTGCATCCCGAACATGTTTGGATGGTTGCTTGCGGTGGTCAGAAGTCTCGGAATTTTGTCAGCTTTTTCGACAAGTAGAACTATGTCAATTAGGGAGCCTCCTGGTAGGAGGTCCACACCTGAAAATTCAGACGAAGATAATGTTAACTCTAAAAGCATGTTTTGGAAAAAATTAATCAGGAATGGAGTAAGTAGAGAGCCCTGATCAATACCACTTGAAGTACAGAATTCTAATGACAGTTCGCCATAAGCTCTTACTCGACCTATAGTGTTCGGGTAGAGGGTTTGTATAAGGTTAATGTACCACTTTGGTACATCTTTCAATGACAGTACCTCGCGATCGACAGAGTCGAATGCCGCCCTAAGGTCGAGAAATACTACTACTGTAAGGCATCGGAACGAGTGTCCATCTTCTAGGACCTGACCTAATGTAAATATCTGGTCTACACATCCACGTCCAGGATGGAAAACAGCCTACTTTTCTCTAGTCTGCTCTTCTCGAGGTTTTGTTAAGCATCGAAGTATTATCGAGGCTAACCTTTTAGACACTATATCAGTTAAACTGATTCCTCTGTGATTGCCCTTCTTTATAGACTGGGACAAACAGGGTTAATTTACTTCAGTGACGGACACTGCCAAAGAACCACACGATCCACTGAGTTAAGTGTCCCCGCCGATCAATATTCCCATCCTGAGATGGCTTTGCTAACATTCGTATTGCTAAGTCCAGCTTCTTTGCTAAGTTTGGATAGCTGTCTACTGTTGTCTATCGCTTTCTCTACCCACTACCGTTCGCGATCATTGCGTAGGTCTTTATCAGCCTGCGCCTAAACTAACCCCGCTTGTTATCGCACTTACTGCCAGCCAGGAGTCAGTCAGTCAGTCAGATGCAACGTAGAACTTCGTACGTAAGTACATCCGTTCATGTTGCCATACCACATCAGCACACACAGATGTAATTGTCAATTCAAATCCAATAGTATAGGAGTAAGTAAGGGTATTAGAAGTAATCGGAGAGGTTAGGATTAGAAGATATTATTCAAGATGTATGATTCAATGAGAAAAGTTTAGAAAGTCAAAACTACAGGGGTTGAAGAATCCAGAAGATTAAGATTTGAGAGAACACAAAGAATAAATGCATCGGCGCCATTGCGAACGATTTTGAGACATGTCATTCAGGGTCTCTAACCATCGATTAGTATCATCTCACGGACCCTAACCAAGTAGTCGACATTTACCGACATGGCTAAGTCGAAAACCAGTAACCTACGAATATCTACTACTCTGACTGGCCACGTTTCACAGCCATAAAGTAAGACGGAGCGAACTACTGAGCAGTACACTCGTCCTTTAGTCAGCAAACGGATATCTCTTCTACGCCACAAGTGACGCAGGTTGGCAAAAGCCAGTCTAGCATTCTGTATCCGTGCTGAGATTTCGTCAGTCACCAGACCATCGGTACTGATGAGACTCCCAAGATAAAAGAAGCGGTCTACACGTTCGACTACTTCACTTCCTATCACTAGTTCAGGTGCCGATGCAACCCAATCTTGAAGCAACATTTTGCATTTCGAGGGGGAAGAGCGCATCCCGAACATGTTTGCATTGTTGCTTAGGGTAGTCAGAAGACTCTGCATTTTGTCAGCATCTTCACCAAGTAGGAAAATGTCATCAGCATATTCTAAGTCAATAAGCGAGCTCTTCACGAGCTTTCGTTAATCGTCGAAGTATTACTGAGGCCAATATTTTAGATACTATATTAGTTAGACTTATTCCTCTGTGATTGTCACAAGAAGACTTTTGTCGTTTCTTATAGATTGGAACAATCAGTGATTGAGGCCACTCAGATGGGATTACATCCAGTTCCCAGATTCTACCTAAGATCTCAGTCAGCCTAGTTGCTAAAACTGGACCACCATCCTTAAATATCTCAGGGGTCAGTCTATCAGGACCCGCAGCTCGCCCTCGCTTCAGACTTCCTAACGCTTTTTCAACTTCATTAAAACTAGGGGGACTTACGTCGATTTGCCATTCAGGATGACTGGAGATCGTGGGTAACCGAAGAGTGGCTCGAGGCCACTGATCCCTAAAGTGTTCTGCCTATTGATCCAGTCTCCTGGATTGAGAATAAATAATAGTCTCACTTACACTAGGATTTTTAATACCAGTTTCCTTGATAAGTCGGAAAAGTTGTCTACTGTTGCCGATCGCCGCTGCCTTTTCCATCGCTTTTGCTTTCGCCACCCACCATTGTTCGCGATCGTTACGTAGGCTTTTCATAAGTCTGCGCCTAAGTTGAGTTCGTTCTTCATCATGTTCAGAGCCAGGTGGGATGAGTTTTCGGGCATCCATCAGATTGGTGGATACTACTGAGATCCACGGCTTCATTCTAGCCTTATGGTCAACCTTACTAGCAGATATCACTGCTGTTTCCACAGCCTTTTTGATATCATTCCATCCTGCTTCTGGATGGGAATAGCTTAGATGGTCGCCTAACTGTCTTTCTAGTTGTTCCTGAAATATATGTTTCGCCTTATTGTCATTAAGTAAAACCCTAGGAGGCTTACTTACGTTGTCTTTCCTACGCCCAGTAAGCTTCAAACAAATACGCGCTCGCACTAGGGCATGATCAGAATCCAAACATGTGCCCCAGAACGAGCGACAGTCTTCTATCGAACCCCTCATTCGGTGGCTGATGGCGATGTAATCTAGTTGCGTCCAAAGTTGAGACGACTTCGGGGGTCGCCAGGTCAACAGATGCTTTTCCTTATGCCTAAAGTTAGTGTTTGCTAAGAATAGGCGGTTGTCTGAGCATGCTTACAACAGACGGTCACCATTTTCTGTTCTCTGAGCCGCGACACCATAACATCCAACTAGGTTTCTTTCATTTTCACTCAGTCTACCTACTTCAGCATGAAAGTCACCAGCCATTATTACTATATCAGAGCGCCTAGCTTTTTGGAGGAGGTCCGAAAGCTTTCTGTAAAACTCATCTTTAACCTCGTCTGAACTTCAGGCAGTTGGGGGCATAGGCAGATACGATGAAGAGGCAACGGCGATTGTCCCTATCTTTACGAGTCCTTACTGTCCCATTTAGTCCGACAGCGCACAATCGACTATCTACTGGGATCCAGTCAAGGAGAGATTGTTCAGCTCTACGACTCAATGCTATGCCTACGCCAGTAAGAACCCGGGAAGCAGCATCAGGGCTACCGGATACAGGAAGAGTAAATCGAGCTGCTTCTTTATTTTGACAAGGTGAAATCAGATTAATAATTTTACTAGGATCCTGTAGGCGCGTTTCAGAGACGCAACATACATCGACGGCACGAGATCCTAAATTCATAGCTAATGATGCCTGTTGCCCTATTTGACATAATGTACGTACATTTAATGCTCCAACATGTAGTCTAGAACGGGGTTTCAAGAGACCGGAAACGACGTTTTGCGAACTCGTATCATTTGCATTAGCTGTGCACTGTGATAAATGAGTGTGAGAAGAGTTAGTCGAGGAGATAAGAGAGGTATTAGGGAGTGTAGGAAGGATTTAATTTTGACCAATTCGGTCTTGTGTGCTGTTACGGGTATGAGGCCGGTTGTCACTTCCCGGCTGCCCACACCGTGGAAGGTTGTTTCTTGAGAGACCTGAAAAGGAAGATAGATTATTGTTGGCCTTTGACACCTGGGAGTGTGACCACAGAGTCCAAGGGACAACTACTTGAGGCCGGTCACACACGGCCTTTTGATGAAAGGATTTTTGAGTATTAGTATTAGCATAGTATTAGTACTGGGTCATCACGATTGGCAAACTTGTTGATCCTTAAGTCCTGAGAGCGTGACCGCAGAGACCAAAAGACTGCTGTTAGAGGCCAGTCACGTACGTCCTTTTTATAAAAAGTATGTAAACTGTTGACTCAGCTCCTGCATAAAATCCCTGACTACCGTGAGGTAAGGTGAGATGTGATATTTTCAGAGTCGACCTTTCCTAACCTCTTCATTCTTTGTGAGAAGGCCGCATCTCTGCAGACGCTGCTTGTCCGTGGGCAACATGTTACTGCTGTCACCCCCTTTAGGTCAGCAGTAAGACTCCACCCTCAGACACTGCGTCGCTGCTTTTACATTTACCCATCTCTGATTGACCTGGCTTGACAGTAGTTTCTAGAGAAACATATGTTCCAGTCAATGTAGCTCTTTTGAGCAATAACGATACGCAAGCCTGGCCTCAACGTCAAGGTAGAGGCAGGGTCGGGAACAACATAGTGTTGGAGAGAACGAACTGGACTCCATCAGGAGAAGAAATTAGGAAAAGGAACTGTAGTTGAATAGGACATACATTACGGAAAGAGCCCCTCTGCGTCTGACTAAAATTCCTATTTAGGAATCCCCGAAGTCAATGAAAGAGAATCAGGCTAAAGAGAACACTTCAGTGTTAGTTAGAAACAGATATCCGAGGGTAAATCACATTTGTGAACAACTTGAAATGACATTAGAAAACTGAACAGGTTGAAGAATCGCTGTTGACATTCTGTGATCTATTATGAGTAACAGGCGTCAGTAGGTAAGTAATTAGGTGTGCCTACTACGGTTCTTAGCTAAATAACTTCCCATTTCAATGACTGTTATATGATTTGCTATAAGATATACGTTTCATAAGAATAACTCGACAGAATATACTTTCTTGGTTGTAATATAACTTATGTCGATCCCTTATGGTAGGATGCCCGTTGTTATTTGTTTTACTTCATTGTATCGTATCAACAAAACCGCAAACTTTTGAAAGTTAACGAAAAATGGTACACACAAATAGTTTATTTTCTATATAGAAAGGCAAATAAATCAGCAAAGAAAAAAAAGAAAAAGAGCGCTGGTAATAAGCCGAACGAAGTTGGTACGGTAGATCAATTTATGTAATTTCAAAAGATGAGGCTAAACTTAAAGAACTTGAAGAAGAACAAGAAAGAGAACGAATTCGATTAGCAGAAGAGCTAGAATTGCAAAGACAACTGCAAGAAAAAGAGGTCAGATAATATAAATTGAGTATTTGATTTATTTTTACCAATGAAACATGTCTTATCAATGAGAATAATCATTTGACTTAAAATAATCCAAAAAGCATTTCTACATGAGCTATTATTACTCAATACCTTTTATCCATCGATCCAGTTACTTGGTTTAATTTAGTTTTGTAAGCCAATTTCGCATTCCTAAAAACACACATCTGCAGATTTTACCAATCTCCCAACTTAGAGTGAACTGTGGTGAATGTTAGTTTATTGTGATATTTGTTTTCAAGTCATTTCAAGACTTTTGATTTGCCTCATAGTTAAAAGCAAATTTTACGAAATTCTGAGATTTTCATAGAATTAACGACATACTGTCTCCTAACCTGATAAAACTTTCCCTTTTACAAAAGGGCATTGGAATTTTTCACGGAATAGTTAAATTTATGGTTTTCATCGATATTACGCATAGAGACTAATGTTTATCGTTCTAACTGGACTAAATCTAGTTAATGTAACACTAAGCGCTTCGTTTTTTTAGTCATAATTCTCCATCCGAGTTTTATTGATTCAATTGGTTTTTTGTTTTCTGAACGTTTGAATATTTTTTTGGTTATCACTCTGTGTCTGTTTCATTTGGAACCCTCTTCTCAATGATTGGGTACTTAAAAAAGTATGAGCTAACGCTTGAACTGGAATGCAATGTGATGAGTACAAAGCGCGTTATCACAAAGTCTACACAAATATGACACCTGCAGCCTTCAAATGGTTCATCAAAAAATAAATGTGTTTGCTTTTTCCATCGATGCTTCTTGGATTCAAAGAGCTTACTGTCTGACACCATTGCAATGATGAACTCTACCAAAAGGCTTATTAATAAGCGATATCACGATAATTGAAATAATGCCTGCTCTATAGATACACAAATGGATGTACAGAAATCCAATTCGAGCCGAAGGCCAAATGACTTAAATGAGCCAAAGGTTAAAAAGCTGACCCCAAAGAGGTTCATGAGGAGCAAAACCTCAAGAGATCAGGTTTCTTCTGTTCCACGTCTTTTAAGTAGCAACAGCCAACAAATACCTAAGAAATATGATCGTATGGCTAAGTCTTCATGAAGCAAAAGAAGCATTCCAACCACACAAATCTCGTTAAATCAATGCGATCGCTACTCTAGTGAATACCAATCCTCAAAATGGGAACTTCAAAGCCTAAGACTGATCACCGTGACGAATCAATCTTCTTTCACCATAGAAAAATGGCTTTGGTTTAGTAAAAGAATGAAAATGAAACGAAATAATCGGGAGTTTTTGCCCACAAAGATTTATGGACCGTATTAGAAAACAAGAGGTTGAAAAAGAATTAAAACTGAGTGAAGGGGCTGGATGAAAGTCATTGAATTGTAAATTTTTGGTTGGTAAGATTAACAGCCAATGGAGGCGAAGCCACTTCAGGTCTACTGCACATACGCTGAGAGCTTACTCAACAAGCGAGTTAGGTCTTCAGATTAACTTCACTAAGCCAGACATAAGTGCCATCACAAAAACATAGTTGATCCAGCCTGTAAACAATAGGAAACTTGGTTTTGAAAATTTCACATTACCTAGAATCAACAGAATCCAGAAGCGTAAAGAAGAAAGATTAACCTTGTTTCTTAGAAATAATATCACCTTAATCGTTATCGACACCATAATACATGAAAGTAGGATATGTGAACTAGTCAGTTGTTGAATGAAATACAAATGAGTAGAGCTGCTGTTTGGTCTGGTTTACCACAGACCAAACTAGGAGGTGAATGAGCACTTATTAGACAAAATCATCCATTAACCTCTAAGTGAGCCATGTTTAATTTTGAGAAACCTTAATGCACCTTCTATAGACTGAAAAGTCATAGGACCGAATTGTCAGGAAATTCCTTCTGACATGAATTAGCTTATGTGGTTATCACAAATGACCTAAAGTAACGTGAAAAAGAAGCAACTAGATATGATCCAGATCCTGAATCATCTTTACTAGATTTCAAAATTAATCTATCATAAGGCTGACGTCTCACACCTCGAACGTATGCCATCCCTGTGTAAGAATGACCTTGCAATTTTAGACTGATTTCCATATCGTTATTAACGACGATGTGTCAACCCAAGCCAGACCAGATGTTTGGAGGACATACATAAAAGGTACCATACATTCAGCTGCCCCACTATGGTTTAATCTATCTATAAATCAAGATAAAGTACGAAGAAATTGGAAGAACGCCATTGTATATCATGCCATCAAACCAGAAATGAGACATAAACCTGAAAAATATCAACTCATAAGCCTAACTAGCATGATTGTGGAAATTTTTAAGAAAGTTTATCCTTAAAGAGCTTTCAAGATACCTGGACGAAAACCATATTCTTTCTGGGGAGAAGCACTGTTTTAGAACAGGCTATTCATATTTCATAAACCTGATAGTAGCATATGAAAGTTGATGCGTTTTTAAACACCCAGAGTTTTCTATAGATGTAGCCTTCATTGACTTGGGAAATGCTTTTGACAAGGTCCCTTAGAAATGGCTTTTATCCAAATTAAGTGATATCGCTATTGGGAGTAACTCAGTTTTGTAGATTACAAATTTTCCCTGTCTAAAATAAGACTGTGAACTGTCTGTAAAGGTTCAAAGTACCAAAATTAAGTCGATTTCTGGAAGTGCAAGGCTGCTGTGATGGACTTACCTTCTTACTTATGCCTGTTACCACCAATGGAGCATAGGCCATCAACCAGTATTCTCCAACCTACTCTGTCCTGTATCTCCCTTTCCAGTTCTGTCCAATATTTGTTCATTCTTCTCATGTCTATCTCCATTCTTCAGCGTAATGTGTTTCTTTACCTTTTGCCTCGAGGATTTCAAATGAAGGGAAGTCTTGTGACGAAGTTGAGTGCTTTCCTCAATATGTGTCTTATCCGCTTCCAGCGCTTGTTTCTGATTTACTCTTCCGCTGGAGTCTAGTTTGTTCTCTCTGACGATGGGCTGGCTGAATTAAACATATTTCTCTTATGATAAAGGAGGACCAATAGTGACTCAATCACAAATTTCAAATCCTTTAATAATAAATTTGAACCTAATATGCCCTCACTCTTCTCGCGTTCTAAAACAAAGCGTTTACAAGCACAGAATAAATTACTTGTCAACCGACTATCAAATTTCTCATCCGATTATCATCAAATGGAACTCGTTAACATATAACTGAAGCTCGATCTCCAGAATTATTCAAAACAAAGCTGGATCAACTAAGAGATCATCACTACCAGGACCGACGTATACATATCTTAAGTAGTTTGAGAATATTTGTGCCCTGTCATGGCCGTCTTTGTACAGTGATTCAAATACTACTGTCCTCCAATAATGCTGATGTATTATCTCTTATGTTAGCCCTTTGGTTTATGTACGACTGGATTATGAAGACGTCAACACCTGGAGGGAAGCACGGTATCCAATGGACAGCTAGGACGCAGCTGGACGATCTGGACTTCACAGATGACTTGGCTCTTCTATCGCATACGCAACAACAAGTGCAAGAGAAGGCGACCAGTGTAGTAGCAGCCTCTGCAGCAGTAGGTCTCAACATACATAAAGGAAAAAGCAAAATTCTCCGATGCAACACAACATGCACCAACCAAATAACTTTTGATGGAGATGCCTTGGAGGACGTTAACACCTTTACATATCTGGGCAGCATCATTGACAGTCAAAGTGGATCCGACGCAGATGTGAGGGCACGGATTGGCAAAGCAAGGGCTGCATTTCTACAGTTGAAAAATATCTGGAACTCCAAACAACTTTCAATCAAAATAAAAATCAGGATTTTCAATACAAATGTGAAGACAGTTCTACTGTATGGAGCGGAAACATGGAGAACTACCAAAGCCATCATCCAGAAGATACAAGTATTTATTAACAGTTGTCTACGCAAAATACTTTGGATTCGTTGTCTAGGCACTATCAGCAACAACGTACTGTGGGAGAGAACAAACCAGATACCAGTGGAAGAGGAAATCAGGAAGGAGTAGTGGAAGTGGATAGGACACACTACATAAAGCACCAAACTGCGTCACAAGACAAGCCCTCACTTGGAACCCTCAAGGCAAAAGGAAAAGAGGAAGGCCAATGAACATATTACGACGAGAAACAGAAAAAGATATGAGAAGAATGAACAAAAATTGAACAGAACTGGAAAAGGAATCCCAGAACAGAGTTGGTTGAAGTAAACTGGTCGCTGGCCTTTGCTCATTTTGGGGGCAACAGGCGTAAGTAAGTTAGTAAAAAGCGTCCTAAGTATTCGATAAACCGCCTGACAAACTTTTCTGTACTTTCTTAGAAACTAAAAATACAAAAAATACAATTTCTACACTATATCAAGACTTCCTGCGGATAAAGTCGGGTCAAGGGATTATAGTAGCCTACCTGGACGGCGGTTCATTCTTTGTCCTCGTTATTCAACTAAGGTGAACTCGTAGTAGTTTTAAGCACACGTAGAGATTAAATTTTTAAATATCCTCATCAGAAAATTAACTTGATGATTACCACTTTAATAGAAACCAAAACTCTCATCTAAACTGTTTATTTGTTAATTTGAAACACTTTTCATGCATTGGAAAGTTATATAACTGAACTAATATTATTACGATTACAATATTCTAAACAGATAAGGTCTTAAATGCCACACTACACTTTCGTGAGGTTACAGATTCCAACATACTGAACAAAGTTCTAGGTTCCAATCCTGCAAGTAGCAGCAGTCGTGGATGCACACTGACACTGATGAGTCCCATACTAGGACACGAAACGGCTGTCGTCCAGTACTTCCAGGTTTCTAATATTGATCTAACAGTGTGACTGATTCATGATTTTAATAAAACTGTCAAATTAATTTCAATTCACTAACATTCACAATTTATAAATGTTTTTGTTCTGTATGTATGATAGGACCTGAAAATACGTATTGGAGAATTAGAAGAAACTAGAACACTGATCAATGAACAAAATCAACATTTAAAACAAATTGAAACAGAATATCAAAATCAATATGCTGTAGACTAAATAATCTCATTCATTCTATAATACATCTAGTGGGAAAGATATTTTCAATGTGATGGTTCTCCGGATCCAAGCAATCAGAAAGAAATCAATACATACATCAGTTTATGGGATTCTGATGAACAACGTGTTTCTATGGAAGATGTATTGGAGGATTGTTTGAAAACATTTAAAGTAAGTCGTAAGGCGCGCACAGAGAGAGAGAGTAATTGGGTTCAATGTGTTCAATTATTATTATTTCATTGAATAACAGATTATTGATGAAGTGAACAAATCAATTGCACATTTAAACAATGTTGATCATGATGATGATCATGATCATGATGAAGATGACCGCAATGAAGATAAAATAAATTTATTAAAATATGAAAATGTAAGTGATAACTTTTTAGTGAATATGTAGTGTGTCGATTTACTGCGTATTCTTAAGCTCGGTAATTAACTCGTTCAGACAATCGTTGCCAAATAGCATCTGACGGTTTATAAATCAGAAGATGAATTCGTAGTGATGAATACGTTTATTCGGGACACACCACAAAGCGAAACGGAGAAGCAGTGAATAAAATGAATGAAGCGACGTGAATTGGAGAAGGCTTTTGAGCCAACTCCTAGAGATAGAGCATGACTAAGAATATACAGTCAGGCATAATAAGACGGACATATGACAAGCGAAATAGGTACGCACAGACATGAATAAAAGCGACGAATGACTGACAAGGTCAAAGGTCAGTGAGACAAGTCATGTGAGTTCATAGGGGTATTAAGAGATTAACGTTAAAGCGAGAAGGATAAGTCAGCGCTCAGGCGTATGCAACGCTCAGTCGTACAAGCTCATACAAACCACACAATAAAAAATACCAATGGTACATATGAGTTGTTGCTATACAAATAGCGTCAAAAACTATTTACAAAATAAGTTTGTCATGCCATCTCCACAAATATGTTATTATTACTGTAATCATGAATCAATTAAGCTGGAAGCATTGAACGACGACTGTTTTGTCTTATTTAGTATGAGACTCATCAACAGTGCTCACTTGTGATAAACGTCTTGCGGAACTTCTCCAAGTTTTAATGAGGATGCATGACCAGTGGAGTTCAACCTTGTAGGGTTGATACGCTTGACACTACAATGATTTCGCCGTAGTCGGTAAACGAGAGCTAAGATAGACAGACAGACAGACAGATACAACGCCGAACTTTGTGCATAAGTACATCACTTCAGGTTGCCATACCACATCAGCACAGAGACGTAACTGTCATTTCAAATCCAAGAGTGATAGCGATAGCAGAATAATTAGCAGTAATGGAGAAGATTAGGGAGCGAAGATATGATTCGAAAAGTATAATTCAGTAAGATAAATTTAAAAGGAGTAGAGATTATGAGGAATTCAGAAGGTTAAAATAAGAGAGAACACAAAGAGTGGATGTACCTGCGAGAGTTAAGACAAGTGATCCAGTGACAACACGAGAGGCTACTCTAATCCGTACGTCCCTAGCCCTCTTATAATGGTATCAAAAAACCTCAGTATGGCATAGAAAGTGTATTCTACAAGCACTCAGAAAATATGAGGTTTTGTACAGAAGAAGACGAGGAGCATAAAACTTTACAGACAATGCATATTTATACAATTAGGTCGACCGTGAATACTTAGTTTAGGACGACCTTAAACATTGACCAATAGAATTAGAGTAACAAAATAATTTCTTTACGATATTTGATGAATATCCTAAGACAATTGAGTTAGGTTACACACAATATCCCTAGATTGATCAGAATTAGACATGAACACCGTTGGATGCCTGGTCATTCATTGGTCCAAAGGCTAAGCGTTCGTGTGCAAGACCGATAGTAGGAGTCATGAATGCACACTGCCACTGATGAGTCACATACTACTGTATTGAAGGAGAACACAGGTTGGGGCAACCGAATTGTATTTATCTCAAATTATACAGAGTTAATTGGTGAAATAGAAAAACCATATCGTAAATCGTTAATTTGCCAAAATATCAATCCATCATATCGAACTGGACTGTTCCTGTTGCAAACAACATCAATCCATTGTCTGACATTTCACCACTGTTCATGCTATTTCATACAAATCCCATTGTGTTCCCCCCACTCTTCCTTTCTTGATCTTCCCCCTCCATCTTCTGCTGCCAGGCATTACGTTTTTTTACTCGCGTCATATATTACTCATAAGTAGCGCGCACCACACTAGCACTCAAAACGGCCTTCGTCCGGTGTTTTGACGTTTCTAATGATCATGGTTTAACAATAATTGATTTATGATATCATTAATGCACAACACTCTCTCATAACATTGACAACTTCATTTTTTTCTTGTTGTTCTCTAGATAAAATATGAATTAAGAGAACAGATTTATCGAAAATTAGATCGATCTATCATTGAAACTTTGTCAAGAGCAAGTTATTATGCTGATCATGAAACAACAAATTTACAAAAAATTTGGTATAATGATTATATTGTCATGTGTATTTGGGGTAATTTATCGAAAAATCCAAGGTAAGAAAAAAGAAGATTGTTGACTTGTTTTGTGCATATCGACTGCATTTTTTTTCTCCTTTTCTGTAGAATTAAACAATTTACATTTAATGAAATCGATGTCACATTTGACATACCGAAAGCATTAACACTGTCAGATTGTGCATTTTTAATAAATTTTATGAAATTCGACAATTATTCATTCCGATGCTCATCGTATTATCCATGTAAACTAACGAAATTAAGTAAGTTGTGTATTTGAATAAATACACATCTCAATTGATTAAAACAAATTATTTTCAATAGTCAATACAGAAGAGGTGATAATTCAAGAAAACAATATTGTTTCAACTGAAGAAAATCAACCGATTGAAATGAAGCCAGATGAAGAAGTAAGTTTGATATGATTTGTTTTTCCTTCAATGTTTTCATCTCTGTTAAATAAAACACAATAATCAGTTAGTTGTTGAAACTTGTAGCTAGATAACTGGAAAAATGATAAATAGTTGCTGAGGAGTAGTCCCATACCAGGACGAAATGGCTATTGTCCAGTGCTTCCAGGTTTCTAATGGTGGTCTAACATTGATCGATTCATGGTTTCAAAATGTTTCTTGAGTAGAAAACTCTTAATAAATACATGTATCTTATGAATGAAATTTACGTTTGATACAATAGAACTGTCTTGACGTTCGTATTTGAAATTATGAGTTTGGTGTTTGCCAAAAGTTGTTTTGACTTTCAGATGTTCTTCAACTGTAGAAATGTTGCCCTTGCTCTGTTAATCCATGTGTTTACCTTTGCATCTGACCCACCTTGTTTATCAATGATGCAGCCCAGATATATAAACGCTTCCAACATCTTCCACATCATGACTCTGCAAGCGGGACTCAAAATTGATACTTTTCGTTTCGCGCGTATACACTTAACCCGTTGGCTACTGAATTGACCCCGACCGAAGCTGCTTCCTTGACGTGGTGGTCGGGCTTGCCTATCGTCATGACCCAACCGAGCTATATTGGCTGGAACATATATTCCTGAAGGTTCTACCATGCAACGCAGTTCGATTGGAGAACGGTGAGACTAAAAGCGGCTACTCAAGGTCTGAGGGCGAAGTCGTACTGCTGACTGCAGAGGGTTGTGACAGCAGTAAGGTGTTTCCTTCGGACAACTAGCATCTGCAGCGATGCTGCCTTCTCAAAAGGAAGGGAAGGGTTAGAAAATGTCGACCCTAAAAATGTCACACCTCACCCTACCTCATGGATTTCCTTCTCCGTCGATAAGGGTGCCCACTAAGGGCTTTCAAGAGCGGAGCTAACACTCAAAAAACTTCTCATAGAAAGTCCGTGCGTGACCGACCTGAAGCAGTTGTCCCTTGGACTCTGTGGTCATGCACCCAGGTCTCTAAGACCAACACTAATCTATCTTCCTTTTCAGGTCTCTCAAGAAACAACCTTCCACGATGTGGGCAGCCGGGAAGTGACAACCGTCCTCATACCCGTAACAACACGCTGAGTTGAAATCCAATGATGTTAAAGTCTAAATTCAATAAATCCATGCGAGTGAACAACTATGATCCTCACACCCGACGCTTGTCAGGGCTTTTCACTAAAACCTATGAAGCTAGTCACTAGTGAGTATAGTATATCATGGGTTGATTTAATCCAGACATTAAAGCTGTTGGATGCCGGATCACTATTCAACAGGTTCACGAGAATGAAGGTGCTGGGTTTGCTTCTTGCCCAATGGGTCCTGCGTGCGCACTACTGATGAGTCTCATATCAAGACGAAACAGCCATCCAGTATTTCTAAGTTCTAACTGATAGTCTAACATAAATCAGTTTATGATTAAAATAAAACTCAACAATCTCCACAACACTATCACTGACAATATTCTGCCCTTTTCTTAAAAGTTATTTACTATACTCCAAACTTGCATTACGGGGTTGTGAAGATTGTTAAGTTTTTTTGAAAACATAAATCGATCAATGTTAGATCACCATTAGGAGAAAACCTGGAGCAGTGGACAATGGCCGTTTCGTCCTGGTATGAGACTCCTCAGCAGTGCGCATTCACGACTCCTGCACCCCACAGTATTCGAACTCAGGACCGTTGGTATTGTAGGCGAACGCCTAACCATCGTACCATTGAGCCGGTATCTAACGGTGTTAATGTCTAACTTGATCAATTCATGGAGTTGCGCAACCTCATACACAGTGTTCGGTAGTAGTTACTGTCTACACCCGAACAGGTTGACCAGTGAAGTTCAACCTGTTCGGGTGTGGACAATATACTTCAAAGTATCGAATTCGTCCCCCCAAAAAATAACTGCAGTCCAATAAACAAACTATGAACTTTCGTAATTAGACAAGTTATAATCAGTCACTGATTTCAATTTGTATACGATTTTTAAAATAACAATTTAATCATGACAAACAGATGAAGTAGTTTTTCCTTTAAAAATCTTTAAATTACAGGTTTGTTCTTTTAAAAATCAATGTACCATCCACATAAAACAGTTTTGGGGGATGTTAGATCCCCAGTATTATGTTGGTACGCTATTTTTGTAGCTCTCTCAAGGACGTTTCTATCATGTGCGCTTGTGAACCTCAAATTGTCTGAGTGCTTGTAGAATACGCTTTCTACGTCTTTTAAAGACTTCTTCCTCTACTAAGTGGGGCCTTGAAACGCTCAGATTATAATAGCCTATCGTGTCACTGCATCATTTGACTTCGCTCTTCTTTACAGACTAAGATGAACTCGTAATCGTTACAAGCATATCAAAAAGTCTTAAACATTTTACGAAATATTTCAAACCTTCAAACAAGTTTCATTGCGAAGTAGGGTTGCTCCATGAATTACTGTGTAATCACCTTTGTTGTCAAGAAAACGAAGCGATTATCACCTCAAAATTATCTTTCCAGTAGTATCCTTAAAAAGCCTTTAAGAGTTTATCCAGGTTTAAAGTATTAACTAAAATGATTCGTTCAATGCTAAGAGATATAAACATTTGAAATTTGAAAAAAAAAACCACACTACCAGCCATAATCCATGAGCTAACGGAACATTTCTTGCATTTCTGTGTTCTCCTTTTTGTTCCGATTGTCAGTTTGTTTATATTCTCTCTTCTTGTAGACTTCACCAAATCTGGATGAGGAACAACCGGAAACAACTGAAGTAGAAGAAACAACTGAAATTCCACCGGAAGATCGAATCCCGACACCAGGTTAATTCATATTGTGTTTTGATTCTTACACATACGAAAGTTGGCAGTTTTTCATTGTACAAAAAACAAAGACATTGGTTTTGAAATGATGCAGAAGACTGTTTGATTGGATACACGTTTTGGTAGTGACTGACTTGAAGTAGGCACTGATAATGTCATGTTTAAAATGAGATTAAAGTTTCTAGTGTATCTTGAACAAAAAAGCCTATAAAATGATATGCCACTGTCTCATATCTGAACGTGATACAAGCTGACCTTCCCAAATGACAACTACCTGATTTAGAATACAAAAGTGGAAGAGAAAGTCTGTTTGGCTATCGAATCATACATGTGGATACTCATTTTTATGTATATATATACATTCCTTACACTTAGAAAAGTAATCCGTTTCTTGACCAATGATATACATTCGTCCTTTAGGACATTTCAAACTACCATCAAGTGACCTTCTCATTCATTCGCTTCTGATTGGTTCACTGTAGCAAAAGCAGCATCTAAAGAATGGTTGAATTTAAAGCGTTGATTTATTGAATCATGAATCTTTGAAGAATAAAGAATTTTAAGCGAACTTGTTATGTTTGTCACTAAGTATGCTTGAGGCTATTACGAGTTTACCTTAGTCGATAAACGCGTCCAGATAGGCTACCTTGAATTCCAAGCTGAAGATAGAAGACTTTGTAAGCGTAGAAAGTATATTCTACAAACACCCAGCAATCACAATACAATCAAGCACACAACTCTCGTTTATTTATACATCATAGAAACGTCGTTGGGACAGTTACAAAAATAGCACACTAAAATACACAGTAGCCAATTACAGCCATGGATTTTGCTGGTGGGAATTGAAATCTCAAAGTCAACTGATCAGCCCATGCTCGTAAACGTGGAATCCGAAATAAGGCATTTAACAAGCTAGTTTTGGGGATCTAACATCCCCAACAGAACTACTTGAAATCGATTGAAGAACTCCAAATAAATTTTCTCCACTGATTTAACTCAAAGTATGTAATTCTATGATAAAAATTGGTTACTTACGCTGCCGACCAACATTCTCCAACCTACTCTGTCAAAAGTTGTCCTCTCCATTTCTACCCAATCGTTAGTTCGTCTTCGAATACCTGCTTGCAATTCCCCGAGCAATGGGTTTTTCAATCTACCTCATTTCCTTTAGTCTAAAAGAATTCCATGTTAGGGCTTGCTTCGTGAGACAGCTGGGTGATTCCCTCAAATTTGTATCCTATACGTGTACAGCTCTTAATTTCCTCATTTCCTCCTCCAAAGCAATCTAGTTTGTTCTCATCTGTAGTAGGTTGTTGTGGTTGATAATGGTGTCTGACAAGCGAAACCGGATTATCTTCTGTAAACAACTGTTAATAAACACCCGTATCTTTTGAACGGCGGCTTATGTAATTCTCGAAATTCCATGCGTCATACATTAGAATTATCTTGACATTTGTTTCGAAAAAATCTCTCCCTCCTTCTTTTTTTGGCACTTCAGAACATGAGAATTGGATAAAAACCAACATGGAAGAGGATGCAGTCGATTTAGGCAATTTTCATGTAATCGGTGGTATTATACGCTTTGAATTGTTCACATTACCTCGACAACCGAAAACAGTGAAAGGATGGACTGTGACAACTTGTGTCAAACCTCCAATACTACATCCATTCGAGTATATCGTTGAAACATGTGAAGAAGTCAGTGAGTTATTGATGTTAAAATGTTTGTATTTTCCTTTTTCTATCAAGCGTCTCACCAACATTGATTGGTCACTCACTGATCATTAGTAGCACAGAGTTAGAAAATATTGACGACACAGTCAGTCAGACAAATTTTAACACCTTTAAACAGTCAGTCAGTCAGTCAGTCAGATGCAACGTAGAACTTTGTACATACGTAAGTACATCAGTTCATGTTGCTATACCACATCAGCACACACAGATGTAATTGTCAATTCAAATTTAATAGTAGAAGAGGTAGTAAAGGTATTAGAAGCAATCGGAGGGGTTAGGATTAGAAGATATTATTCAAGAAGTATAATTCAGTGAGATAAGTTAAAAAAAGTGAAAACTAGAGGTGTTGAAGAATCCAGAAGATTAGGATTTGAGAGTACATAAAGAATAAATGCACCGGCGCCATTGCAAACGGTTTTAAGCCATGTCATTCAAGGTCTCTAACCATCGATTATTATCATCTCGCGGACCCCAACCAGGTAGTCGACAATTACCGACATGACTCAGTCCACTTGTCAACAACATCATCAGCACAAACATCAGATAGAACTTACTTACTTACTTACGCCTGTTACCCCCAATGGAGCATAGGCCGCCCTCTGGAATATTGTGCCACCGATGACCAGTTTGTTGAAGGCACATAGGTTTGCAAATCTCTCACCGTTTTCATTCTTTTCATTTCTGCCGCAGCTTGAAATAGTCTTCCAGTCTCCCACAATGTACGAACGTTCCATGTACCTAAAAGAATGGTTGCTCTGGTTGTCAGAAGAGGCATCGGCCTCGTGACTTCCGAGGGAACTCGGCTTTCAACACGCGACGTCATAATTCTTCCTCCAACTCTCAGGACAGAGTTAAAATGGTTTGAATTATTTTTTCTGGATAGCGTTTTTTTGGCAAGTTAGTTTTTGACGGAATGAGGTCGTCAATCCAATGTCCAACCCTCCTCCTTTACCCGGGCTCGGGACCGGCAGTAGCCCCGAAGGTTCTACTGGCGGAGTTATCAGATAGAAGATGTGAAGTATTTGAAATTCTTCACATATGAGCCATAGCTTGTCCTGTTAACCTTGACCTTGATTGAGTAAACCCTGTGGGCTCGACATAAAAGAAGGACACACATATGGCGAATTCATGAATTATTGTGATCAAATTATTGATGGGGGGTCCATTGAGTTAATTTCTATTTTTTATTTTATCAAAGAAACAGAAAATGAGACGACGGTTGATGAAACTCCACGAAAACAAGAAAAAAAAGAAGAGAAACCACCAATTCAAATTAAAATTCGGTAAATTATAAAAATTTTTTTATTTCATGTTACATTTTGGTTTTATTTTACAATGATAATCGTTAGGCGGTCATGGTGTTAGCATATTCATCCAATAAGCTTAAGAGAATTATTGGTCAACTCCTATTGGTTAATTCCTATTGGTCAGTTTTAATGATCGTCACGTGCTCCAATGTTGTTTCTTATTGGTTGTCCTGATTATTAATCTCACTTCAAATGTTGATTCTTAATGGTCGTTTTAACTGCCAATGTCACAGATTTCGACGTTGTTTCCCAGTCGACCAAAATGTATAAATACGCATGATCTGTAACATTTTATGACCAAGAACAGGACCTAGTCCCAGATCCCTAGTCCGAGATCCTGATTCTCTTCTGAACTCGGACCTATTTACTTGCATGCGTTGAGAGAGAGAAATTCCTTCACGAGGCTAATCAATAGTGATGAGTACGTTTAGTGATTTGTCTTGACAGAGTTAAACAGATTGTTGATTTTCTCTGAAATCAAAAATAGTTCATTGTTAAACCTAAAAGTTAAGCCTTATGAGAATCATACCTTCGCCAATCATGTAGTTTCCATCGATTAAAAAGGCTTAGATCAACAGTTAGGGATATTATAGATTTCTAATGGTTTCTAATGGTGGTGTAACATTGATCGGTTCATGGTTTCAAAAATACTATAGATTGTTATCAAGTCTTAATTTGGACATCTCTAGCCTTGTTTCAATTTAATCCTACTCTGTTCAGCATTACCCATTAGAGTAGATAGTCATTGTAGGGAAAAATGATCTATAGTTAGAACTAGCAACATTTAACTGATATCAGCTAATGTTAACTTCTTAATATAGACAGACAATCATAAATGGCCTAAAATGAGAAAGCATATGATTGGTCAAGAGATGAATTCATTTTCTAAGGGAGAGAAATGTATTATATTTGAATGGGTATTTATGTAATATGATTCGGTAGCCAAATAGACCTTTTTTCTCAATCTCACCCTCTCACTGAAGTAGTCACACTAGGAGGATTTCGGTGTGTATCGTGTTCATAGCTTGGATACATGGTATATCATAACAGTTTTCTGTAACTGTACAATGTTCGTTTGTGTTTTTTCAGTATGCCAAAATCGATAATCATTGTAGAAGATCCATTAATGGCTAGATGGGATCCCGTGAAATTACAATGGCGTACAACAGGTATTCAATTAGTCAAATTTAATGAAGATGACAATACTGTTGTATTTTGTACAAGTGTTTTTGGTATCCTAGCTATATTTCAAGATTTTCACATTAATATGCCATTTCAAGTAAGTCAGTCGAGTGAGTAATGATTACAAATAATATTCAGTGACTATTATTTCATTTAAATACATGGATAAAATAGGGCACCTAAACAGTTATGCGGATATAAATGGTTGAATTAGTGAGTGGTCTGTGTTATGTTGCCCTGGTTGTTGCCCAAAACGGAACCAGGTGGTTCATTCAAGGGATGGCCACTTCTCGAGCCTTTGATGCAGAGGCTTCTTAGTCCATACAAGGAGGCAGTAGAGCAATGTCAGGAGTTCCTGATGACCAACAAATGTTCATTCACCAGTCATTTGCACCAGTGGTACTGGTTTTGAACCTGAGCTTTCCAACTCCCTTCAGGTGGATTATCCGGACCTATTAACAATGCTTAAGTTACTATTGGATACTCTCTTTCTTTGCCCTGTCACTTTTGCAATCTACAATTCCTATTACGAGGAGGCAGTGAGTACGAGACTTTTCGTTACTCACATAACTTTTCTTGAGGGATTGTGTTATCACTGTTTTTTTAAACGTTTATACTTTCAGTTAGAAAGTCATAGATGCAAACCGTATTACACTCAATCAGGTCTATTCAGTTGAATGATAGATACCACACTGATGCTGTGGTGGCCAGTATTTGACATGTTCTTAAGCTTCGTAATTAGCTCGTCCAGACTAAGTAGCATCTGACGGTTTATAAATCAGAAGGTGAACTCGAAGTTTTGAATACGTTGAATACAGCAGACTACAAGCGCTAAAAGATAAAATCGTCATGCGAGCACCGGGGAACAAGCAAGTGAGCGAATAGGCGAATGAACGGATGAATCGATGTGGAGAAGGCTAGTGAGCCGAATCCCCCAGATGAAGCATGACTAAGAATTTATATTACAGGGTTGTGAAGATTGTTAAGTTACACATTTTTCGAAACCATGAATCGATCAGTGTTAGACCGCCATTAGAAACCTGGAAGCACTGAAAGACGGCCATTTCGTCCTGGTATGGGACTCCTCAGCAGTGCGCATCCACGACTTCTGCACCCCACAGGATTCGAACCCAGGACCTCCGGTATGAGGTTGCACAACTCCGTGAATTTGATCAAGTTAGACAATAACACCGTTAGATAATGGCTCAGTGGTCCGATGATTAGGCGTTCGTGCACAATACCGGAGGTCCTGGTTTCGAATCCTGCGGGGTGCGGGAGTCGTGGATGCGCACTGCTGAGGAGTCCCATAGGAGGATGGAACGGCCGTCTTTCAGTGCTTCCAGGTTTCTAATGGCGGTCTAACACTGATCGACTCATGGTTTCAAAAATGTGTGAGAATTTATAGTCAAACAAAAATAAGACAGACATGTAGTAAGTGAAATAGACATGCGCACACATGAATAAAAGCGATGAATAGTTGACAAGGTCAAAAGACACGTGGGACACGTCGTGTGAGCTCATACAAACCAGACAATAATAAGAACGAATGGTACATATAAATTGTTGCTACGCGAATGGCTTGGTTAAATAAATTCATCGAAAGGGCTTAACCAAATTAAATGTAAGCGAACTCGAATATATGTGGAGGCAATACAATGCAAACCTATGTAACACAGTACAAAACTAAAGACGAATCCCCACTTTCAGTTAGAATATAAGGCAAAAAATAAAACCTATTCTCATTGTGTGACATTGACAGACGGATATGTGTACGTATCAGTAGTTTTGATTATGACATCATGTTATGATCGAAATAGTTTGATGATTCTGTTCAGCTTCGATTTTTTGTCAAAAAAAGGACACTACATTTCACAACATTGCTAGCAGGGTGATAATTATTATCTGCCTTTTAATCTATTCAATATCGCAGTACATTTATTTTTAAAAAAAGTAAAACAATTCCCTTAGAAATGAAAATATATAACTCATTTATAGGTTCAATATATATGGCTCAATGATCTAGAGGTTAAGTGTTCGTGTGTGAGTGAGCGAAGATCTTGAGTTCCTGAGGCCCACCAGCAAGAGCCATGGATGCTCATTGTTGATTGGTAGTCCAATACTAGGACAAAACGGCTTTTCAGTGCTTCCAGGCCAAACATTGATCGATTTTATGATTTCAATGTTCACGAAGTATGTAACAACCATCTTGTTCCTTACCTGAGAGGTTCAGTCAGTGGTAGTGTTTTCATGACTAAAAGACTGAGTAACTTGGGTATTTTATTAGTTTCGTAAGGTGCAACATCCAGTTTTTTTTTTCAAGATTGAACATGTGTCTTACTGACAAGTTTCGATTAACGTAGAACTTAGGTCAAGACAGAACTTCTTATGGATTCTTTCTAATCTATATCAGTCAATCAGTCAGTCAGCAACAACATTAGCACAGAAACGCAATTGTCTATTCAAATCCCATAGTAGTAGATGTAGTCAAGTGGAATTCAGATTAGTACTTGGTAGAACACAAAGAATGGATGGTATGTTCGTCGTTTCAAACGATTTCGAGTCATGTCATTCAAGGTTTCTACCCGTTGGTTACTTTCGTCTCGCGTATCCCAACCGCATAGTCTATACCTACCAACATGGTGCAGTGTTGTTGTCAGTGACTTCATGGATTTGTATCATGTTTTAGTTTGGCCACCCCTAGCTTTATTCGAACCTATACCAGAAGACATAGCACATCGAGGCAATCAGTGGTTGGGCATACGCAACACATGTCCCAACCACCTCAACTGATGACGATAGAGTACTTCATCAATTAATTTACCATCCTGTTGGGGATGTTAGATCCCCAGAACTCGCTTGATAAATGCCTTAATTTTGGGTTTCACGTTTGCCAGGATGGGCTGATCGGTTGACCTTGAGATTTAATTTCCTACCAAGAAAATCCATGCCTGCGATTGGCTGCTGTATATTTCAGTGTGCTATTTTCGTAACTGTCCCAAGGACGTACAAATGCACGAGAGTTTTGTGCTTGATTGTATTGTGTTGTGATTGTTGGGTGTTTGTAAAATATACTTTCTACGCTTACCAAGACTTCTGTTTTACAGTTTGGGATTCAAGGTAGCCTATCTGGACGCAGGTTTATTGTCTCGTTCGCGTTTACGGTCCAAGGTGAACTCGTAATAGCTTCAAGCGTACCTACTGACGAACATAACACATCCTTACCTAATACTCGTTTCCTAACGACAGCATCGCTTACTCGGTTGTCCCAGAATATACAAGCAATGCTTCGAAGGCACCGATAATTGAATACAAGTAACCTAAGAATATCCTCTACTCTTACCGACTATGTTTCAAAGCCCTGACCTATGTTTATTATTATTATTATTATATTTACTAAATTACACTATTCTATCTAATTGAAAATATTATTTACTCTCAGTATTGGGAACTACGTCCTTTACCATTAAAACGAAATACAAAAACAACAACAGTATCAGATTCCGGTCAGTCAGATGTAAATATTACAAACACTTTACAAATAAATGAACAACGATCCACTTCAGTAATTCGATCAACTACACCTATTGGGAAAACAAAAGAAATAACACATGAAACGCCAACAAATCAAGAAGTAAGTGAAAAATCAATTTATAGACTACATTTTTACATAGATTAAAAACCAGTGAGAGTGTACTTGACAGTTGCTTTGTTCTAATATAGAAATGATTGGTATCACTTACTTACTTACTTACTTACTTACCTACGTACTCATTTACGGATATTAACCCCAGTGGGGAGCATAGACCGTTGAATAGCATCCTCCAACTTACTCTGTCTTCGGGCCTTCCCGTCCAGTTTCAACCTATTGCTCTTCATTCTTTTTCATGCCTGTCTCCAATTCTCAGAATAATGTGTTCTTTGGTCTTCTTCTGTTCCGTTAGTCTTGAGAATTCCAAGTGATAGCTTGTCTTGTGGTGTAGTTGAATGAGAGTGTACTTGACAGTTGCTTTGTCCTACTTTAGGAATGCTTGACACTAATTACTTACTTACTTACTTACTTACTTATGCAAGTTACCCCCAGTGGAAGATAGTCCACCGAACAGGATTTCCCGTTCTACGTTGTACTGAACCTTCCTTTCAAGTTCTATACAATTAATGTTCATTCTCCTCATGTCTATCTCCGTTTCTCGATGTAATGTGTTCTTTCCCTTCAACTTTGAGAATTCCAAGTGAGGCCTTGTCTTGTGACACAGCAGAGTGATTTCCATAATGTGTGTCCTATCCACCTCCAGCATTTTTTCCCTGATCTCTTAAAATCGACTAGCCCCACTGAACCCACCCAATGTCGAAGCAACACCCACAAATCTCCCAATTCATGTGGACTCACCAATAATTGAAGAGATCAACAGTACTTGGCATTATTTTACAGCCATAATTCGATTAGGATTTGAAACTAAAGCTTCCAATTCTCGTGACTAATCGTTATCTATTAATTTGAACTGTTAATTAATACATTTGAAATCATCAATCAATCATTGTTAGACCACCATTAGAGACTTAGAAGCACTGGATGGCCGTCTCGTCCTGGTATGGGGCTCATCAGCAGTGCGCATCCACGACCCCTGCACCTCACAGGATTTGAACCCGACAAGTTCGGTATTGTGCGCGAACGCCTAACCATCGGACCACTGGGCCGTAATCCAGCGGTGTTAATGTCTAACTCTGATTGATCTAGGGATTTTGCGCGACCTCACCCATTTGTCTTTGGTAGTTACTGCCTACACCTGACAGGGTTTAACTCCATTAGTCACGTCTTGTCAACTATAACTCCAAGAATTTCCTCACGAAGCTCGTCATTCATGAGCACGGTTAAGTAAAACAGTCCGACGACATACATTTATTTTCACTTTCAATCAATAATTATGTCGTTGGTGATAACTGTTTTACTCTTGATATTTTCAAACTTTGCCAATCTCTAACTTGTTAATCGGATTTCAAGAACATTGTGAATTAAATTAGTAATGAGATAACCATTATACTTTAGTTAATTATATCGATTTCTGTAGCCTAAAGATTTTATGGTTGGCTAGTCTGTACTGGAACCTTCTGAGCTACCCTACTATTTTCTAATTGTACAAATGATGGGGATGTTAGATCCCCAGAACTCGCTTGATAAATATCTCTATATTGGGCTGATCAGTTGAGCTTGAGATCACATGTCCCACCAAGAAAATCCATGGCTGTGATTGGCTGCTGTGTATTTTAGTGTGCTATTTTTGTGACTGTCCCAACGACGTTTCTATGATGTATAAATACACAAGAGTTGTATGCTTGATTGTGTACTGTGATTGCTGGGTGTTTGTATAATATACTTCCTGCGCTTACCAAGACTTCTGTCTTACAGTTCGGGATTCAAGGTAGCCTATCTGGACGCTGGTTCATTGTCTCGTTCGCGTTTCTCGACTAAGGTGAACTCGTAATAGCTTCAAGCGTACCTAGTGACGAACATATCATATCAACAAATATGACAGTAAAGTTATTTAGTATTGGAAATATTGATCGAATTTACAAATGTTAATTATAATGACTTCATAATGCACTGATACATTGTTTGTTTATATAAATAGCTTTACACTTACATACCAAAAACCCATTAACAATTGAATTAGAACACCAAAATAATTTCTCATACATTCATTCACCTCTTAGTGTATCCTTGGCAGTGTGTTACGTTTATAAAACACCTTTATCCGCTCTCTCTTGAATCTTCTGTTTCCTTGTTCATCAGCTCTCCCACGAAAATCGTCTATCCATCTTGCATGATTCCTGCCTGCTCATCGTTGCACATCTGGTTAACATGTCTTTTATATGTGCAACATTTTATCCGAACCAAGTATATAATACTTTACCCGCTGTTCGTTTGACTGCTCAAGACTTTCATTTGTTGCAGCTAAGATATCATTTGATAAATACCCTTTGTCGCACATAAAATCTGTCAGCAGGTTCGTTCTTAGCGCTATCCAATCGCCGGTGAAACACTATGCTGTTGACGATAGTTCAAATTTTTCTTCACACATGTACTCTGAGTGAGAGACTTTCGTTCTTGTACGTCAGGATTCGGAGTAGCTTGATAAAAATTTTGAAAATTTACTTACTACCTTTCTCCTTCCTCACTTGTCAATGGCATTTTCAATGTATCTACAAATCTTTCGGCTTGTCTCTCGGGACTGAGAATGATATGATGGCGACTGTGGATGGATAATTCCATTTTTGTCCCAAAACTGTTTAAATTCTGATGATATGAAATGAGTACTACTGCCTGTCACTAAGATATCAGGAACCCGAATATGACTGAATGAGTCTGACAACTGTCTGATTGTTGCTTTTCTTGTAAGATTCACCATGGCGTAATTTTCTGGTCAGTTAGTAGAAGCCACCTCAATGACCAAACAGTTTTTCCTTCCCATGTAGGTGGCCAGAAAAATCAACATATTCTCTTTGCCATGAATTATCCAGTCCTAACCAAGGATGGGGTTTACGTTTGTAGCCAAAACCAGAGACTTTATCATTTCACATCGATTTAATAGTCCACCGATGGCCAATATTCATAGCTTCATGAAAACGACATCATTCTCTTGATTCAGGAGTGAAAACTGTTATTTAATAAAACAATTATTATTTTAATTTCATGAAAGTCATGAACTGATCAATGTTAAACCATCATCGGAAACCTAGAAGCATTAAGCTCATTGTTCAAAAGGCTTGAAGGTCACACTCTATCTAGACCGGAAGTCCTGGGTTCGATTCCCGCTCACCAAGTTTCATACTAGGATAAAACAGTTGTCCACTGCTTCCAGATTTCCAATGATAGCCTAACACTGATTTTAATGAAACTCATACTGTTCGTGTTTAAAACTGTTACTATTACTTACTTTCTTATTTCACATACTAGAACGTTAGTATAACACCAGAATCCGCCAAAACAGAACATAAACAGAATAATGATGTCGCAGACAAATCAAAAGAATGTATCATTCTTGGACCGGTAAAAAACATTGGTTTATCCGATAGTGAATATCAATCCATCCTACTGTCATCATCAGCATCCGTCGTTATAAATCAATGTTTATTAACGATCACCGCTGGTTGTATTGAACTTCGTCTGCATATTTTAGGTGATCGAATTGCAGTACTCCCAAGTAATCCATCATCGTTGACAGGAAGTAGCGCTAATGATAGTTCAATGTTCCAAAAATACTCAAATAAACCGGATAAAAATGATCCGGATTCATTTAAACATACTAAACGTGAATTATATCATTTATGGGGTCGATGGTTTACGTTGAATGAATTAATCACTGTATTACAACAATCTGGTATGAATATATTTCCTAGAGAAGATTCAGTCAGTCGGATTGAATGTCTTGATAAGGTGGGTGTGTGCGTGTTCTCGTTTTTTAGATTTTTGTTCTTTTCAAAAAAATATAATCATTTCATGATGATGAGACTTGGAATTCTTTTTGGATGATATTTAAGTTAGAAGCATCAATGTAGCCTTGATAAAACTCGACTATTTACTATGATTAGAAGTTAAAGTTCTCATTATGAATTGACATAAGCTATTATGTCAAAATACTGTTGAACCAAATGCGCATGAATGAATGAATTTCGCGCAAAATTTCAAAGCTTGTTATACCATAAGACTTGATATTTCATCCACAAAGGAGATGAACTCAAAAATACTTATACACTATGTTAAACCTGTCGAAGAGTTGAGCAACACGATTGAAATTCAAGAAACAACAATTCTTTTATTGAGGAATGAACGTAAGTCATATACAAACCTCAACTCATCCTGTTTCTAAGGTGGTTAACACATCTAAATATCTAGGAAGAAAGGATATTTATCCAATATCCTAAGAGAATTATTGGTCTATTCCTATTGGTTAATTTCTACTGGTCAATTTTATGATCGTCCTTGATATCAACATTAAGTACTCCAATTCTGTTTCTTATTGGTCGTCCTGAATTCCAAGGTCACTGTCAATGTCACAGACTTCGATGCTGTTTTCTATTCGACCTAAAAGTATAAATACGCATTACCTGTAACGTTTTATGACCCGGACCTAGACCGGGATCCTGATTCTGTTCTGGATTCGGACCTCGTACTTTCTGGATGCTTATAGAATACAGGTTCTACTTCATATCAAGTCTTCTTCTTTTTACTCAACATGGGGATTGGACACTCGGATTAGAGTAGTCTGTCGTGTCGCCGGATCCTCGCTCTCGTGTCCAACTAAGGTAAACTCGTAATACAACCTATAGTAGTGTGAATGACCTGTAATAATTATGTTTCATGTCAACAACGATTTATCGACAAGTACATAACACCACACGCCTAGAAATTGTTAGAAATAAACTTGCCTACTGAATATTAACAAGTAGTATAAAGCAATACACAAAAAACGAGTGGAACGGTAAGTGAATATAGACAGATTCTGATGGTTTCGTTATCTCAGCTGGATGTTTTGGTTAAAGAGCTTACTTGGTTCTTCTAAACAACTTCAGCATAAACTTCAGGCAGAAGTGAATTATTCGAATATCTTCACGTCTGACCTTTAGCTTGTCCTGTTAATTTCGATCTTGATTGATTGCGATTGACCTGAAACCTGTCGTCGTTTGAACCTCTGTTTTGATTGCATCCCTGTTTGATCAGTTTATTGATCTTACGTCGCCTATGATTTTTCTGATTGTTTGATAACTTGGATCAATGTCGATGTGTTTGTTGATTGCTGATTGACCTGAGCGTCAAGTTCGGCTCTGAGAACGAAGCACCACCACAATCATCCACCTGAGCTACAAATTTTCCCCACCATCTCAGAATAAAGACAGAGAATCTTAACGAACTCAACACAGTGATTAATAACATCATCAATATAATATCAAGTATACAGAGATTAAGGAAGTCTTTGAATGGAATTTCATTTTGAAATATGTTATTCAGTACAACAAATCCAACATTTTTCTTATAGATCTGTGAAGATTGTTGACAGCTTTAAGGTCAACAGCAACCAATCAAGACCGAGGTTAGCAGAACAAGCTACAGGTCAAACGTGAAGAAATTCGAATACTTCACTTTCATCTGAAGTTTGTGCTGACAAGGTTGTTCAATAGAAGAACAATGAAAGCTCCACAACCAAAATATCCAACTCAGTGAACGAAACACCACCACAATCATCCACCTGAGCTACAAATTTCTCGCCACCGTTGTTTAGTTTCATTGAAATCATGAATCAGTCATTGTTATACTCCAACTTCAGGAACCTCGAAGCACTGGTTTTGAAGTTAATCGTCTGTCGAATCTTTGGTTCTGTTTAACAACACTCTGTTGAAGATTTTTGCTGGCATTCATAATGGAGTGATGCTTCTGTAGTTCTCACACCTACTAAGATCTTTCTTCGTTATCGCTATGAGATGTCATACTTTCCAGTCACCTCGAAACACCTGCCTGACTATCTGCTAGTAATATATTTAGGTAAATAACTAATCACGATTTTCGTTCACATATACAACAGTTTTATTAGATGGAGACGTTATATCACCAGAACTCACTTGATAAATGTCCTAATTTTGGATTTTACATTTTAGAGCATTGGCTGATCAGTTGACCTTGAGATTACATTTCCCACCTGGAAAATCTTCGACTCTTATTGGTTGATGCATTATTTTAGTACGCTATTTTTGTGGCTCTCCCAAGGACGTGTCCATCATGTTTAAATAAAGTCGATTTGTGTGCTTGTGAACCTCATATTTTCTGGGTGCTTGTAAAAAACACTTTTTACGCCATATCAAGACTTCTTCTTCTACTTAGTGGAGAGCTGGGACGCTCGGATTAGAGTAGTCTATCCTGTCACTGGATTATTTGTCTTCGCTCTCGTTTACCGAGTAAGATGAACTCGTAATAATGTCAAGCATATCAATTTACGAGTGTAACAATAGTATGATTACAGTATTATAAGTATTCTGATACAGTCCGCTAGTTCACCAGCAATGTAATTCAACCACTGTAGTGTGTGTGCTAATATATTGAGGCCATTGGGCTTTTCCGAGCCTTTGAACAATTTAATTAATCCATTCTGTCTAACTTACTACTATTCACACGTCTTTCGATCATGTCTACGATTCGCTGATAACTTTGATTGTTCTTGTGTGCGTCACGTGCATCACTTACTTCGCCTGAGATTTATACACCTTGTTATGAAATACTATTGAATATTCCCATCTTCTCTTTTGCTTAACTAGAGTCGTCTTGTTGAAGAGAATCTCTATGAACATATGGCTTTATTAAGTCCATCAATGGCTTTCGGTTGGTCAAGATGGAATAGTGAATGTCATGATGATCATACAATTATTTTAACCGCTGTTGAACATGTTGATTGTGATGATTCAGTTGATGAGGTAAAACTGTTATTGAATTTTTAATTAATTACTATTTATATCATGCATTTCGTTTGATGAATAAAATTGAAGTCGGAAAAATTTCTGTTATCTCTATATACATAAAAATATCAGTTTAAATCATTTTTTTATGTATTTGAGATGATAAAAACAACACAGTTATCGGTAATGAATTGAACACTGAAAATTGACCCATTTCAATAAATATGGTCGAATAATTGTCGACCAATAAGAGAACAGAGACGAATTTCAAACCAACCAATAAAACGCCTGCAAAAGAAATTGTCCAATAAATCATCAGATATATAAAATTAGTAATTTATTGACAGTGGACGAACCCCATGCTATAATAGAAAGAGACAGAATATCAGATGGGATGAGAAGATACAATCTATAAGCTGAAAACTGTACACACCATAAAACATCCACTATCTTCTTCCACATAACGTCTGCTCCTCGTAACATTCTGACCGGGCTTTGCAAACAAATACAGCACTCTTTGCTAAGTCCGTAACTTCAAGGTGATATTCTGCTTCACATCCATTGCATAGTACTACTTATAAGCTATATTGTAAGTAGTACATACCAGAATTGCATTATCATATAAAATTTACTTGATACTTACTTACCTATCGACCAGAAAATAGACATTTTTAATAAAAAAAACCGCACAAAATTACTCCCTTTTACTGCATCGAAATGAATTTTCGAAAATGCGAATTAAGAATCTTTATAATAAATGCTCAACAGACTATCTCCCATATCAGGACGAAACTGCCGTCCAGTCCTTCCAGGTTTCTAATGGTGGTCTAGTAACATTGATCGATTCATGGTTGCAAAAAATGTGTAATTTAACTATCTTCACAACCCCGTAATGCAAATTACTTGTGCTCACTAGTGATTAGCTTCATGAGGAATCGTCTCCGAGTTCTAGTGGGAAGAGGTGACCAGTGAAGTTCAACCTGTTCGGGTGTTGGCAGTTTCTACCGAAGACTGTGTATGAGGTTGCACAACTCCGTGAATTCGATCAAGTTAGACATTAACACCGCTGGATACCGGCTCAGTGGTCCGATGGTTAGTCGTTCGCGCACAATACCGAAGGTTCTGTGTTCGAATCCTGCAGGAGTCGTGAATGCGCACTGCTGATGAGTCCCATACCAGGACGAAATGGCCGTCCAGTGCTTCCAGGTTTCTTATGGTGATCTAACATTGATCGATTCATAGTTTCAAAAATGTGTAACTTAACAATCTTCATGACTCCGTAATGCAGACTATCTCCTAATCAAAAAATTTATTTACTTACGAAAATATTTGTTATAATGTGTATCACCAATAAACGTATCAAATCCACACCAAAATGATGAGGTTTTAAAGATATAACAGCTAGAACTTTATCATTGAAACGAATGAAAAATATCAGATGATAAGCAGCGACATTTCGCGGCTGTCAGTGGAATCAAAGATGTGTGTTTCGTCCTATTCGGGACACGTGAGCTGGATTTGTCTGCATCCCAGAGTTGATGGTCACTCTAAAGCTCATACTCAGTACCGCTTGCTTAAAACACCATGGCATTATCGACTTAGCTGCTAAGTCTAGATAAACACTCATTTGTGTAACTGAACGCCAATAACTAGTTACAGATCCATAGTTTACCACACAACTGACAATTGAATTCCTCCTAAGTGGTCCAAACGTTTGAGTGCTTGTATCAAGAGTTGAAGATCTTGGTGTTCATTGATAACGAGTCCTATATTCAGACGAAATATCTGTCTACTTCTCACTTGTTTTTCGATGGTATCATTCTGTGATGAAAACCACCTCTATAAATTAAATTTAAGCGTTCATTTGATAAATCGATAGAACCTTAGGGAGAAACAGTTTAGAAATCTTACAAACGGTGGCCTAGCTGTTTACTTTATTATTATTAACCAACAAAATGTGCTCACTAGTGACTAAATTCCTCAGGAAATTCTCGGCATTCAAGTGCGAAGCCGTGACCAGTGGAGTTCAAACCTGTCGGGTGTAGACAGTTACCTACCAGAGACAATCGGTGAGGTCATGCAATATCGTGGATTGTCAAACGTTAGACATGGACATCGCTGAATGCCAACTCAATGGTCTAGAGGTCAAGCGTTCTCTCCCACGAAACCGAAGGTCCTAGGTTCGATTCCCGCCAAAGGTTGGATCATGGATGAGCATTGCTGATGAGTTCGCATACAAGAACGAAAAAGTCCTCTAGTGCTTACATATTTCCAATCGTTATCTTACAAAGATCAATTTATGATTTCAGTGACATTCGACTATCTATCTTCGGCGCTCCTGCCTTAGAGTTTCTAGGACATTACATAGACTCACAAGGCATAAGAACACTACAGGAGAAAGTTGACGCTATCATCAAAACCACAGCTTATCATCCTTTTTAAATATCTGAGATTATGGCTTACAATCGAATGACTTGTGGTGTTGGTGTTTGGTTCTCTGAGCTGAATGTTTCGGTTGTGGAGCTTTCATTGTTCTTCTGAACGAAATCATCAGCACAAACTTCAGACAGACGTCTATCTATCCAGCTCAGGGAACCAAACATCACCACTACAATCATCCACCTGAGCTATAAATCTTCTCACCATCTCAAAATTGAATGACTTATATTTCATTTATTTTTTTCAAAAATTTTTAATAAACTTTGAAAATTCAAGTATTTAGTTTGTTTCATTTAGTTTTTTAAAGATTTCATCACGTAGCGTATACCCGTTTAGTTCAATCTTCAATAAAAGTTTGTTTTTCTAATATTTCTAATAGGAATCATGGAAAAAGTAAATTATGCACACACGCACACAAATAAAAGCAGCCAAAGTTATCACACGATGAGTGGCAAGGTCGGAAGACGTGTAATTAGTATCTGGAAGAATGTATGAATCAATTTATCCAAAAGCTCGGACAGGTTCTGTGGGCTCCATAGGTTAGTATACATTGTAACATGCTGTGACATCGCGATATATTTTGGCGATAAAATTAAAAGATGCGCTTGTTGAATAACTTGTACTTTATAAGGTCGGCTTTTTTAGTTTAATACGTACGACTGACTACAATTGGTTATTTCGGTTGACTACCATTCTTATTAGATTCACTTCTGTTTTACCATGATATAGATGTTTACCTCCTAAAATACATGACAGTAATTGTTTGTGAAAATCTAGTCTTCATTTTTATACCTTATACAACGATAGGTTGTAGTGGAACACTTCTACGAAGAAAACGTGTTTGGTGAAAAATAAATATTTATTATTGTACTCGTTTTGTTTAACTGTACCAAAAACACTTTCTAGCGCGCAATGTTCTCTTCGCGTTGCTGCCATTGTTCATAACGTGCTGCTTTCTATATAATGCCTACTTTTTCCTTCAATCAATATTCGAACATGGATTTATTTCTATATTACGTGAGGCGACAGTATGGAACATTTAGTGGTGATCGTAGTCAATCTCAACTCAGTCGCCACTAAAAGGTGACGATTAGTCTATCTTATGCTTATAGGGTTGTTGAGTAATACAGGTATCACACAAAACTCTATAGAAAACCTAAAATATGATTTATTAAGATTGTTTTTACAACTGATCTACAAAATATATAGCTTAGATTATTGTGGCTTCGATACTGACACATATATGCTTTGTATATTATTACACTCCTAATTCAAACTGCAAACAATACACATTCAAGTGTACCCCTCGTACTCTTAATGACTTGAGTACTGGTTTATTTGTGACCAATTTTTAAATATAGTTCATCATAGAAACTACTCAGAAAGAAATTCTGTTTAGGAATAACATGGTCCCAGTATGTGTCAAGTGTAAACTGCTACTTTGGGATAGCTTAGTTTTGATCTGGCATTTTAAGCACACCCGCAGAGCATATTCCAGACGTCATAATAGTTCCGATCATCTAACTGAATTATATCTAACTTTGCTTAGTCAAAAGTGAAAACACTAAATACTTAGTCATTGGTTGAATTGTATAATTCTAGTTAACTGTCTGTAGCAAATAAACGATCTTTATCGGTGTTATTAAATATTTTATATATGAATCTGTTATAACAGTACAAAATAATTCCTAACTGTATACTTCAGATCCCAGTTTATACTTATGTCTTGTTGAAGTTTGTGTCGGTGTTTAACTAGACTTATGTTCGAGACAACTTTAGTTATTTCACACATTTTCCGTAATTCCATTTCATTTGTACAATCACCTATACTGACTGCAAAATTGTTGTTTACATTTATCCTTTATATTCCTTCACTGTTCCATTCTGAACTTCTGTGTCGTATCAATTACTCCTCTCAAATACACTGCAGCTAAGACACTCAACACAATCAACTGCAGAGTGAACAAAATTCTAGTATAATTGTTATCAACGTTCACAGATCATAGAGATCTCTTCATTATTTCAATATTCCTGGTATACATCGTTTGGATTATATATGCATATTTATTGGGATACGTGTTCTGGATTGCGTAGGGCTCTAGTTTTTAAGCGATCGTGAGTTTAGTTCATCAGATCTGGTGTTTACAAGACTATTTATCATGATGTTAGTGATTCTTATTGATCATAAATTATTGTTAACCTCTTGATATTGAAAACTTTAATGTATTCACTCCCTCACCCCTCAATGTCGCTGGCAGCCGTTACATTACTAGGTTTTAAACGCAGATGCAGTTTCAAATTTTGTTGGTGATTCAAATTCTGCAAAATGCTGATGATCACAAATTCTGAATGGAGATGGAAAGTTCCACGCCACTGATCTTCAAAGGGTCTTCAATAAAATCAGTCATTCGACCACCTGGAACTCATTCCTTAGTAGCAGCAATAGTAGAATATTTATGGCAAATAGTCGTGGTATATTGACTTTGTGGATTCTCAGTGTTTCAGTTGTCATACTTCGAACTCGAAATGGAGTCTGAATATTACCCTACATAGTACTTTAAGTAGCTGTTTCTTCTGGGATTATTCGCAAGCACTGTTTCGTCATAACAGAACATCCTTGATACTGAGCGGTCAAGTTGGCAAATAAGAGCGCTATCATGACGTGACAGGACACTGTTGACTCTCTTCTTCTTCAAAGAGCCTCAGAATCTTCAGGAAAGTGCGAAAGATAGCTTCACCAAACCATTTGAATACTCCATGAAGTAGCTATGAAACGCAGAGCCTTTTGATAACTGGTTGTAATTCGATTTTCTCTCGGTTTCAAGTTTGAGCGAGCAGTTCATTCTGAGCTCCTTTATTTTTAGACCTATGAAGTCTCAACGATAGCATGCGGCAGTTACTACAGCAACTGATGGATAGTGTCTCACTTTATATTTCGGTCCACCTAAATGTTTCAACCCAGACCTAAATTTTACTTTTTATTTTAAGTTAGAAAACATCTGCATCATAATAAAATACCCTTCTGAAATCCAGAGAAACTACGTCAATAGGAAGACCGCTGTTCGTTTCTGCCGGTTAGTTCTCCTTTTCAGCGAGATCAGTCAAGTAGGAGTGATGACCATTAAAATCGATCTCTCTCTAAAATAAAGATTATTTTCTAATTTAACTTCATTAAATAGTTCATCCCATGCTGCTAAGCTACAGATATGACGCTTGTAATCTGGAAGCAGATTTCGAAGAAAGATTGATTCCCAGTACTCCTCATTAAATTTTGAAGCTCATAGTTAGGAGAAATGCTTTTGTTATGCTCGTCTCTAAGTATGCTCAAAACTTTTATGGATTCCCCTTAGTCGAATTACGAGCACAAAAAAATGAATCAGCGTCCAAGTAGGCTACTGTGATCCGATTGTCCCAATTGTACCAGCAGGAAGTCTTGATATAGCGTAGAAAGTGTATTCTACATACACCCAACCAGCACAATACATCACAGCACAAAAATCGCGTTTTTTTATACTACACAGAGGTATCCTTGCTCAGTCACAAAAATAGCACACTAAAGTGACGCATTAACCAATCACAGCCAAGGATTTTCCTGGTGAGAAATGAGATCTCAAGGTCAACTGATCGGTCCATGAAATAAATCCGAAGTGAAGATATTTATCAAGCAAGTTCTGGGGATCCAACATCCCCAACAGCTTCAGACTACGCATACAACTCAAGTAACTCCCTTCCATGATTGTGGTTAGTTGAACAAAGTTTATGAGTTTTGGTATTCTGTGATCCACAGTCTTATGCTAAATGTGTCGAAAATGCCTCTCCGACAATCGCTGGACTGGTAACGTTGAAGTGCAACTTTCGCCCTTTCGAAGACAGAATGTTCCACCTATTGTTTGGCAGCTTTGATCGGCCACATTTCGAGTATAGAATTATAGCGACCCCTTCATCACAAAAGTTCATGGATAAACTGGAACTCATCCAAATGCGAGCCACGAAACACGTTTGAGGAACCAAAATTCAAACCTAATGAATTGCATTTCGAATCACCGAATCTTCACAGATTAGAGTGTAAGCTTCTCAAAGGTGACCTCATAACTTACAGCACACTAAAAACAACTGGGCACCTCCTAAAATATTTTAGCTCGGTCTTATCATTAAATCTGGGGTATTACACAGAAGGTAGATGTGGGTAAGCCTACCCTTTATGAGAAACTATATTCTGAATTTCCCTATAAGATCAATATGTCCATGAGACTCACTAAGAGTGTATAGCGATTCGTACGATATATATCTTCGCAGGAGAACAAATGTTACTCCACTAACCCAGAGAATCAAGAAAGAAACAGATTCTAGAGGAAGAAGTATATTTGATACTGGCCTCGTGATATCGAAATAATATCGAGACAAGAGGGCGTACAGAAAGCTAACGTACAGGAGAATGGAAATAATACGCTCGGCGCGCGAGAGATAGTCTTTAGTACAGATAAACAAGATGTGAAAAGTATTAAAATTATTTTCGGAATTAAGTACAATAATAAACGTTCATATTTCAGCAGTTGTGTTTTCTTCGTGCTACCACGACAAGTCCTGTAAGACGAAGCTCAACATATTCGTAAGGACTCAAGATAGCATTTCATTTTCATCTACTAGTATTAATCTTTTACCAGTTAAATATATATCCAGGTTCCAATTTGAAGGCGTCGGCTTTCAACTGGTACTAGATATGCGTAATGCATTGAAAACCTTACTCCACCAACTTCTAGTTTCCATTATTAGTATGTTTTGATCTCATGCTGGCTTTATTTCTGGTTGCTGTCCATTGATTTATCTATTGAATGCAACTGCATTTTGTGCACTTACAGAGTCGTGGGCTTACCTTTTTCTCGTTTCCTTTCTTCTTCTAGATAATCTCACACTCTGCTCCCAACACTCTCATGACACACAAGGTACCTAATTGCTAAAGTCAAGCTTTTCAAAAGCTGAAGTTATAAAAGTAAGTATGTTAAGCGAAAGCTTCTTCAAATTCTTCCACAACCACTTGAATCGTTTGAATGTACATCAAAAGCGGTGAAGTCGAATGATCCCGGTTTGACCTTGAGGCGGACTTCTGGGAGGCTTAGTCATTCTTTCTTTGCGGAGAGCTTCTGCTTCATCTTTTACATGCCGGAATGGATGAGCTTTCTTTGTATTTTTCAACCGAGAATGAAACATCGAAGTCCAAGTTAAGTGTAAAGTCAACTAAGTCATTCACAAGGCCAACTAATCTCCTGAATGGCCAACAACAACAACGTAAAAGCTTCAGAGGTTATAGCAAGAAAAATAAAACTGTTGATTCCAGCTCAGATGATGCCCACAGCCCAGTTCTTAACTTAAATTTTACTCCCAACAACCGGATGTGTAGTAGCATCAGTTGTGGAAGTATCTCTACAAAAATGCCACACATTCTTCCTCCTGAGATAGAAGAAGGAAATATTGAGTATAAAGTAAGTTACTAATCTTTTTTCCTTGTTCTGACAGCATATCTCGCCTTTGATGATATATAATTATTCTTCCTATGTGTAAGATGTCATTAGGGTATCCAAGTGATTTTAGACACTGTGAAATAATCGTCAAATATTAAATATACTGTTGTCAGTCATTTAGTTAGTCATTTCGGCAAGCAAAAAGTTGGTTTAAGATAATCAAATGATTTTTCATGTGATAAATCAGTTTCCAGATGTTTTCAGGATTCTTATAATATTTATCTTAATTATTGGAACGGGAAGCTCGAACCTTAGCACATAATTTTAGTTTCTGGAACTAATTCCTAACCTTTTTTTAATATTGGCAAAGTGAATTTCTTCGATTTTTGTTGATTCAATAATATTAGCTCTCATAAACTTCCCTTTTCTAGTAGCAGTGAATCTCTTGCATCTGTAAGGACGTGGGTACATAAAGAGCAGCAGAAATAGAGTTAGTCGTGGAGATAAGAGAGGTACTAGGGGGTGTAGGAAAGATTTGAGTTTAACCAATTTGGTCTCGTGTGCTGTTACGGGTATGAGGGCGGTTGTCACTTCCCGGCTGCCCACACCGTGGAAGGTTGTTTCTTGAGGAACCTGAAAAGGAAGATAGATTAGCGTTGGTCTTAGAGACCTGGGTGCGTGACCTCAGAGGCCAACGGACAAATGCTTGAGGCCAGTCACACACGGCATTTTTGTAAAGGGTTTTTCGAGGATTAGCTCCGCTCTTAAAGGCCCTTAGTGGGCACCCTTATCGACGGAGACGGAAATCCGTGAGGTAGGGTGAGGTGTGACATTTTTAGGGTCGACGTTTTCTAACCCTTCCTTTCTTACGAGAAGGCAGCATCGCTGCAGATGCTGGTTGTCCGAGGGAAACACCTTACTGCTGTCACACCCGTCTGCAGTCAGCAGTACGACTTCGCCCTCAGACCTTGAGTTGCTATTTTAGTCCTACGCTTCTCTAATCGGCCTGCCTTACATGGCAGTTTCTAAAAGAACAATCAGCCAGTATAGGTCAGTTGGGTCATCACGATAGGCAAGACCAACCATCACGTCAAGGTATCATCTACAGTTGGGAATATACAAATTTAAGTTGCTCTATATTTCGTCATTCATTCTCATCTACTTTAATTGATAAAATGTTCCATAAGCTTACCTCGGTTTATTGTTGAAATGATTTCACAAGCCACCATATATGCTTAAATCGGTTTTTTTCCCTTCAAACAAACTTTTGTACATAATCCACTGCAATTAGTCATCATTATCTGTTTATTAAGCTGAAAAATCAAAACCTCTGTCAATTTTATGTTTGCCTATCTGCATCATGAGCACTCAATGCAGTCGCTTTACATGACAAACAGGCTAGAAAAGTGAAAAATCTAACGATAATAATCAAGTGTACGTACTATTAACTTACAACTCTACTATTAGTCTACAATTAAGTGGAAAATGATTTGTAATAGTCAGTGATGTAATCATGTTACATGTCTGTTTCTTTGTACACTTTTATTTCTTTTGTGGAGTAGGAGTAGGATGGAAGATAGCTAGGGACTGCCAGACAAAAACGTGGCACGATTCCCTGAAGTCACTAATAATTGAACTGAACCATGTTAATGTAGGTGGAGACTACTTGGTTGGGGTCTGCGTGACAATGGTAACCGGTGGTTAGAGGGTTTTAATGACATAACTCAAAATCGTTTACAATTGAGCAGGTGCATCCATTCTTTGTCTCCTCGAAATTCCCTATTGCTACATATGCACGTAAACACATCATTTGAGATGCTTGAACTATTACGAGTTTACCTTAGTTGGAAAACGAGAGCGAGGATCGAGTATCCGGCGACACGACATGTTACTCTAAGCGGAGTGTCCTAACCCCTATATTCAGTAAAAAGAAGAATTGATATGAAGTAGAACCTGTATTCTACAAGCATCCAAAAAGTACGAGGTCCGAGTCCAGAAGAGAATCAGGATCCCGGACTAGGGATCCGGGTTCGGGTCCGGGCCATATAACGTTACAGATAATGCGTATTTATCAGTCAGTCAGTCAGTTGCAACGTAGAACTTCGTACGTATGTTCATAAGTTCAGATTGCCATAACATATCAGCACAGAGATGCAAATGTCAAATCAAATCCCATAGTGATAGAGATAGTAGAGGTATTAATGGTAATGAAGAAGACTAGGGTTCAAAGATATTATTCAAGAAGTATAATTAAGTGAAATAAGGTTAGAAAGACAAAGGTAGAGGTGCTGACGAATCCAGAAGATTAGGATTTGAGAGAGCTCAAAGAATGGATGCACTTGCGCCATTGCAAACGATTTTAAGCCATGTCGTTCAAGGTCTCTAACCATTGGTGACTTTCGTCTCGCGGACCCCAACCATGTAGCCTACTACATCTACCAACATGACTCAGTCCACTTGTTAGTGACTTGATGGATTTGTGCCATGTTTTGGTTTGGCCACCCCTAACTTTCTTCCAACCTACTCCTGCGTATTTATACAGTTATGTCAAATACGAAACAACATTTGAAGTGACATTGATAGCTAGGACGACCATAATATTCACCGGTAGGAATTGACCAATAGAATTGGACTTACAAAAGTGATTCTCTTAGGATGTTTGATGAATATCCTAACACCAATCTTCTGAATTTGAGGTGGTTGGGACATGTGTTACGAATGCCTTGAACGACATGGCTCAAAATCGTTTGCAATGGCATAAGTGCATCCATTCGTTGTGCTCTCTCAAATCCTAATCTTCTGGACTCGTCAGCACCTCTACCTTTGTCTTTCTAACCTTAACTCACTGAATTATACTTCTTGAATGATATCTTCAAACCCTAGTTCTACGACTGACTGGATCTTCTGAATTCCTCATGACCATCCTTTGCTCCTCAGATTTATTTTACTTGATTGTACTCCTTGAATACCATCTCTAAACCCTAATCTTTCCGGATTACTGCACTTACTTCTACTCTCTCCACCACTAAAGGATTTGAATTAGCGATTACCTCTCTGTGCTATCGTAGTATGTCAGCTTGACATGATGTACACCTACGTACGTACGTACATACGTACAAAGTTCAACGTTGTAGCTGACTGACCGACTGACACTTTTATTTCTGTTACCATAATCTTTCCTTTCTCCTTCTTCCTGTTTTAAAATATATAGCGGAAATTAATTGATCCAACACCGAATCGTTTTGAACAGCTAGTTACACAAATGAAATGGCGTCTTAATGAAGGTGGTGGTAAAGCAATTTATAAATTAGGTGTCGACGACAATGGACATGTTAGTGGATTACGTCAGTTGGAATTAATTAGTTCGTTGAAAACACTTGAACGTATGGCAAAACGTTTAAATGCTACACTACATCCACTTCGAGAGTGTACTATTGAACCGACAATAAATTCAACAGAAAAAGAATGTCGTCAAGCTATTGAAATGCTTGTTCGTCTAGCGCCGACAACGAATGAAGGTGTAAGTCATATTTGTTAAATTTGTTTATTGTAACATGATAACTCAACTTATGGTACATACATACTCGGCTTCTGGTTTACTTTAGTTGTGTGTGTGTGGGAGGGGGAGCTAATCAAATCCTAACCGATCTCTTCAACCAAATTAGGTCAGTCAGTCAGTCAGATGCAACGTAGAACTTTGTACATAAGTTCATCAGTTCATGTTGCCATACCACATCAACACAGAGAAGTAATCGTCAATTCAAATCCAATAGTAGAAGAGGTAGTAAGGGAATTAGAAATAATCGGAGAGGTTAGGATTAGAAGATAATATTCAAGAAGTATGATTCAGTGAACCAAATTAGGTAGGATGGTATATTTTATTGGCTGCGTTAGATTCAATGTCAGGCTTACTATTTTAGTGGCTTGCTATATGACTGAGATATTTATTAAGAATCATATATGCTATGAAATAAATTTCCCTTTCTGTTTCTGTTTGGGATGTTAGATCCCCAGAATTCGCTTGATAAAAACGCCTTATTATGGATTTCACGTTTGCGAGCATGGGCTGATTGGTTGACCTTGAGATTTCATTTCTCACTAGGAAAATCCATGGTTGTGATTGGCTGCTGTGTATTTTAGTGTCTCAAGGATGTTTCTATGATGTATAAATAAACGAGAGTTGTGTGCTTGATTGTATTGTGTGATTGCTGGGTGTTTGTAGAATATACTTTCTACGCTTACCAAGACTTCTCTTTTGCCATTTTCGGATCAAGGTAGCCTATGTAGACGCTGGTTCATTGTCTCGTTCGCGTTTGTCGACTAAGGTGAACTCGTAATAACTTCAAGCGTACCTAGTGACGAACATAACAATTTCCATATATCACCCTAAGGCGAAGCACGTTTTTGTGATGGGGGATCCAATTGGATAAGTTTATTTCAAGCAATTGTTCATGCAGACAGGTAGGGAGGATACATAGCTTAGAAGCAAAGCGTTGCGAAGTGGAGAAAGCGAACGAGCCAGCACCTTGCGATGAAGTATGACTAAGCATTTATAGTCAGAAGACAATAAACCAAACATGAAATAAGCGAAGTAAGAGGTGTACGCACATGCTCGAATAAAAACGACCAAGATAAACGTGAGCAGCAGTTGGCAAGGTCAAAAGACGTGTGAATAATAATAACTCGGGTAGAATCGATTAGTTAGTTTGTTCGAAGGCTTGGGACCAAGCCCTGTAGGCTCAACATAAAAGTACACTCACTACAGTATTCAAACTTTTAATCTGAAATAGAGCATTATAGCTACTACTACCACTAGGCCATCTGTTCTGTTCCACTCTCAACTAAAACGTTTCACAGTCTAATGCATTTTTTTCTAGACCCAACACTGTTTCTCTATGTCTGTAAAATACAAACTAAGGCACTGTTTCACTGAATAACTTTTGTTTCGAGAAATTGTTTATCCTTTCACGTCCAAGCTGTCACTCTTCACATAATGACATTAAATTATTTACCTGATTTACACAGCCTTAACTTTGTATGATTCTTTTATGGTTTAGGAGTTAAAATTGCTGACTTTTTTAAGTTCGAAACCCATTCTATATATGTACTTCAGTTTACTCAACTACCAGAAGATAACTTGTTACATCCAGATAAAGACTTGGGTTAATAATAACTTGAGAATCCAGTTTATGACTCATTGTTGCATGCAGAACAATTGTATAATGATATTCCCTGCATCCTGAGCTCTTGAATAACTCATCAACCTTAGCTGTATGATTGATTATTCTTAATCTGTCACTAGTTTGTGATTCGCAGCGTGTTGTTGACAGCTTCACTTATTTTGGTAATGTCATCAATGCTGATAGCCTGGTGTCTGACGAAATGCCAGTACGGATTCAAAAAGGCTTGGCTGGCTTTCGCCAACCTGAGTCACTTATGGCATAAGCGAGATAACCGTCTACTAACTAAAGGACGAGTTTTTGGCGTAGCAGTTTGTTCGGTCCTACTTTATGAGTATGACACAGGGCTACTAGAAATAGTGGATATTGGTAATTTACTAGTATTCGATCATAGCTGTCGTCGAAGGATTGTTCGTATATCCTAGGATCACCAAGTAAGCAATGTTCGTGTTAGGAAACGGATGATAGGCAAGGATGACAGATCAACAGATGGAGTAGTGGAACTTCATCAGTTGAGGTGGTTGGGACAGATCAGCACAGATCTTCGAAGCTACTGAAGAGTTAACTGAGCCATGTCGGTAAGTGTAGACTACCTGGTTGGGGTCCGTGAGACTGTAGTAAACGATCGTTAGGGAGTTTGAATGGCATGGCTTAAACTTGTTTTCAATAGTGCAAATGCATCCATTATTTGTCTTCTCTCCAATTCTAATCTTCTGAATTCCTCATCACATTTATCTTTCTTTTTAAGTTGATTTCACTGGTTTGTAACTTCTCAGACCATACCTACGATCTCTCATCTTTTCGATTACCATTAAACTGCTACTTCATCCACTACTAGGGTATTTGAATTGATCATTCCATCTGTCTAGGCCAACTTCATACAGCAATTGAAACGGATGCACGTACGTATGAAGTTCTTTGTTACAGCTCACTAACCCTACTCACAACCACCGTTGGCTCACTGATGTATATTTGTTAATTTCCAATACAATGTGATCTGTTTCTGTGTGCATATAAGCAAACGTTCCATTGGGGCAAAAAGTTAGTATTCAACCGTTTGTTGAAGTATACAGAGAGAGTAGCCAGGTCTTTCATCCTTACTGTGCAATATATTGACCAGCATTCAAAGGGTTGTCTATATATATATATATATATATATATATATATAACATTGATCGATTCATAGTTTCAAAAATGTGTAACTTAACAATCTTCACAACAACCGCGTATTGCTAATTACCTGTGCTCACTAGTGACTAGCTTTGTGAGGAATCTTCTCCGAATTCTAGTGAGAAGACGTGACCAGTGAAGTTCAACCTGTTCAGGTGTAGACAGTAACTACTACCGAAGACAGTGTACATGAGGTTGCACAACTCCGCGAATTGTTCGAAGTTAGACAATAACACCGTTAGATACCGGGCTTAGTGGTTAGGCGTTTGCCTATAATACCGAAGGTCCGTGGTTCGAATCCTGCGGGGTGCAGGAGTCGTGGATGCGCACTGCCACTGATGAGTTCCATACCAGGACGAAACGGCCGTGTTTCAGTGCTTCCAGGTTTCTAATGGTGTGGTCTAACATTGATCAATTCATGGTTTCAAAGTATATATATATATATATATATATATATATATATATATAATATTGGCTCGTGTATAAAGAGTCACAACCTAGTCCTTTTTTTTCATATCATAATCTGTCTCATCACAAAGTCATGCATATATAAACCTTCTATTATGTATATGTAATGATCACATTGGATATATGTTTGTAAATTTTGCTTATATAACTAAGAGACTAGTGAATACGTGTGTGTCTGTGTGTGTGTGAGCGCGTGTGTGCGCATTGTTTACACTTTCTATTGTCATATTGGACTGACACATGATTTGTGTGTGTGAGTGTGAGTGTGTGTGTGTGTGTGCAGTGGTAACATGGTTTATGCGCAACAGCTGATGATCAGAAGGGAAAAAGAAACCAACTATTGTAATTATTATTTATTATTATTATCATTATTATTATTATTATTATTATTATTATTATTATTATTATTATTGTGAATACATATGAATTAAGGAGAATAATAATGAAAAGATTATTTCTTTCAGTATTTATTTTCTGTGTTTGTTTCCTTGTAATGAATAACCGAGTAGTAGTAGTAGTAGTAGTCAACTGATCTATATATATATATATATATATATATATATATATATATATATATATATATATATGACAATGTGATCGGAATAATTTATTAGCTAGTAGTTATATTATTATTATTATCATTATTAAACTATTGTGTTGTATTGTTTTTTCTTTTAAAAATAAATTGTGTAAATTATTCTCTTATAAAAGGAAAAGAAAACTGTCATCCACTCGTCAAAGAGAAGAGAATATCATTTTGTTTCAATGTGAATCTACCTATTCAGTCATTCATTGATTTTGTGTGCTAGTTGAAATTTGAAAAAGTATTTTTTAACATATTTTCCCTATCTGACTGTTCTATCTATTGTATATGCGACAATAAATGTAAGAGAAGACGACCAGTATAGCAGCAGCCTATGCAGCAGTAGGTCTCAACATACATAAAGGGAAAAGTAAGATTCTACGATACAACACAACGTGCGTCAACCAAATCACTGTTGATGGAGATGTCTTGGAGGACGTTAACACCTTTACATATCTTGACAGCATCATCGACGAGAAAGGTGGATCCGATGCAGATGTGAGGGCGCTGATTGGCAAAGCAAGGGCTGCATTTCTACAGTTAAAAAATATCTGGAACTCCAAACAACTGTCAACCGAAACCAAAATCAGAATTTTGAATACAAATGTCAAGACAGTTCTACTGTATGGAGCGGAAACTTGAAGGACTACCAAAGCAATCATCCAGAAGATAGAAGTATTCATCAACAGTTGTCTACGCAAAATAGTTCGGATTCGTTGACTAGACACTATCAGCAACAACGTACTATGCGAGAAAACAAACCAGATTCCAATAGAGGAGGAAATCAGGAAGAAGCGGTGGAAGTGGATAGGACACTCACTACGAAAAGCACCTAACTGCGTCACAAGACAAACCCTCACTTGAAACCGTCAAGGTCAAACGAAAAGACGAATGCCAAAGAACACATTACGCCGAGAACTAGAGAAAGATATGAGAGGAATGAACAAAAATTGGACAGAACTGGAAAGGAATTTCCAGGACAGTGTAGGTTGGAGGACACTAGTCGGCGGCCTATATTCCATTGGGGGTAACAGGCGTAAGTAAATGAGTATATCTCTCCCTCTCTCTTGAAAAGCTCTCATATGGCCATGCGTATACAGCCACTTATGAGGGAATTCGTACTCACTGCCTTCTTTTGGCAAGGGTGTGTGTTCACGAAAAGCGAATGTTTGATTGGTGCTTGAACTCGGAGGATCAACCCAGAGAAGGGAGTTGAAAAATCCTGATTCCAAAACGAAATGGTTCATAAGGGCTTCAGTATCCTAACCTTTGTTGTACCAACGTTTATGTGTAAAAATGATTACATGAATAATTAGGGATCTAATAAACACAAGTTTTCTCCCTGGTTGATCGATTTCTTCATTGATTTTCCCTTTATGTTTATTGTAACACTTGAGAATATTTTATATTCGGTAGTAGTGGAAGTAGTACTAGTTGTCATAGTTGTAGTATAAACCTAACTCTTAAAATAAAATACAACCAGCCTGAAGTAAATCTTGATTCGACCACTACTTACGCCTGTTACACCTAATGGAGCATAAGCCACACAACAACATTCTCAAGTCCACTCTCTCCTGGACCTTCCTATTCATTTGCAGATCATTCTTTTAATGTCTGCTTCTAATTCTGGGCCTGACGGGTTCTTCGGTCTTTCTATTATCCTTTGACCTTGCTGTAGTTGTCAAAAGCAGCATCGGCCTCATGACTTCCGAAAAAACTCGGCTATCATCACGAAGTGTCATAGCTTCCAACTCCCAGAGCAGAGTTTAAATGGTTTGAATTATTTTTTTCTGGTTAGCGTTTTTTTCGCGAGTTAATTTTCTAAAAGATGGGGTCCCCAAACCCATGCCCAACCTACTCCTTTATCTGAGCTTGGCACCGCCAGTAGCCCGAAAGGGTCTCCAGACGGGGTTATTCAATCACTAAACTCTTCTTAAATAATACTGCTTATAGCGTTACAGTTTTTAACTTTTGTGTTACTTATAACTGGAATATATGATAATCCTATCTCTTCTATCATATGAATTTTCCTTGATCATGTTAATGAGTATTTTTGATTTAAAGTGAATATTGACTAATTTCAATCATCCATGTGCTAGGTAAGGATGGCAGATCAATAGATTAAGTATTAAAACTTCATCAGTTGAGGTGGTTGGGACATGTGTTGCGTATGCCCAGCCACCGACTGCCTCGTCGAGCTATATTTTGTAGTGTAGGAGTAGGTTGGAAGAAATATAGGGGTGCCCAAACCAAAACATGGCACTGACAAGTGGACTGATTCATGTTGGTAGATGTAGGTTACCTGGTTGGGTTCAGCGAGATGAAAGTCACCAATGGTTAGAGACCCTGAATGACATGGCTCAAAACCGTTTGCGATGGCGCCGGTGCATTTATTCTTTGTGTTCTCTCAAATCCTAACCCCTTGGAGTTCCCTATCACCTCTATACTTTTAAGTTTATTTCACTAGATTCTGTTTCTTGAATAATATCGTGGAACCCTAAAATTTCGGATTACTGCTTTTACCTTTACTACCTGCACTACTGTAATGAACGAGAACACAGGTGGGGCAACCGGATTATATTTAACGAAAATTACAGAGTTACTCAGTAAAATAGGAAAATCATATCATAAATCGTTAATTTGCAAAATATCAATCCATCATTATCGAACTGGACTGTTCCTGTTGCAAAACATCAATCCATTGTCACTATTCATGCGTTTCATACAATTTCCATTGTGTTCTAACTCTTCCTTTCTTGATCTTCCTCCATCTTCTGCTGCCAGACATTACGTTGATACTCACCTCATATACTACTTATAAGTAGTGCGCACCACTACTACTTGTCATCCTTTTTCATAATAAATATGTTGTTTTGTCTTTATTTTTCTTCGTATCGTTCTAGTCACCAGATTTATGTGTTGCTTTGGTTGGTGGAATGGATTCAGGCAAATCCACCCTAATTGGTGTACTGACTGATGGAGAATTAGACAATGCACGTGGTAAAGCACGTTTAAATCTATTTCGTCATTTACATGAAGTACAATCTGGTCGTACAAGTAGTTTAAGTCGTGAATTATTAGGTTTTGATGTCAATGGTAATGTTACAAATTATAAATATGCTGATGGTAGAATTTATCGACGTTCAGCTGAAGAAGTAAGTTCATATTGTGTGTTTGCTATTTACTGATTTATCAGCTGATTTGATTATCAAATATTGTCAATTCATTGAAAAAAAATCATTTCATCATTGTATCTTTTTATTGATTGGTCGATCTACCTGTCGACCAATCAGAGTACAAGGTCATCTACTCACGGACACACATACCTACGATTTGCATTCTGATTGGTCCATCTATTGGATGATTTAGAATTTCGTCAACTTGTATTTACGCTTTGGAATTTTCTGTGTAAATAAAACTTGAGTAGTCTTTGTTAAGATAATCAAGTTTAGTTGAGCAATGAAACGCTCATAAATCTGTTAGTAATGTGTAAAGTGAGGAAAAGGTAGAAATGTGTTACAATCTATGTAATACGTTCTAAATATTAACATATTGATAGAACACAGTGAGAAGACGTAATTGATCCGAAAATAAAGTAGTGTACTTGAGCGCTATACATTTCGAACAATCTGGTCACACACATATTTATTTGTCAAGGCATTTTGATTTGAAGATTAATAAAAGTTCAAATAGACATAAGGTGATAATTGTAAATAAAGGAGAGAGAAAAGAATTAGAAAGGGTAGGAAAATTGTCACATTAGCCTCCTAGGCTTAAAGATTACCAGGGTAAATTCAAGGCTATAACAAATTGTTCATGATTTCAAATGTGTATAACTTATATAATTTTCACAACCCCTTGATGCAATTACCTATGCTCTGTGAGGAATCTTCTCTGAGTTCTAGTGAGAAGTCGTGACCAGTGAAGTTCAACTTGTTCTGGTATAGACGGTAACTACCGAAGACTGTACATGAGGTTGTGGAACTCCGTGAATTGATCGAAGTTAGACATTAACACCGTTAGATACCGGCTTAGTGGTCTAGAGGTTAGGTGTTTGCGGGCAAGACTGACGGTCTTGGGTTCGAATCCTGAGAGGTGCAGTAGTCATGGATGCGCACTGCCACTGATGAGTCCCATACCAGGACGAAACGGCCGTCTAATGCTTTCAGGTTTCTAATGCTGATTTCTAGTTCACTAATTTTCTGTATGCTTCGAAGGTGATTTCTCCTATTTTCACTAAAAAATTTGTACCAGTTCGTTTTGTATTGTTTGTCCTGCCTTCGAATAATAAGTTCCTGGCAGATCACCTTTTTTTCTATCGCGTTTTGATATGTTGTAAATAAATTGCCATTGTAAAATCCAAGAGATTTAATCGTATCAGAGTAGCTCAATTGATGTTCCTAGATCAATTCAACAAATTCATTGACACTGAAAGATGCTAACGGACACACGTTATCGGTCAGAATTTGGTTTCACTTTCTGAAGGAATAGACATACATTATTAGTCGGAAATATGGCTTTATTTTATGTCTGTATATTTGCGATTGAGTTGTGCATAGACTCTTGATTCGATCAGCTAATAAAATCTAGCTAAATTTCGATATGGACACTCGTTTAGGAGTCATCTAAATCGATTATAAACTCGAATGACTGCAAAACATCACTTCCAACTTTGTTATTTGTCAATTTGTATAGCAATCATCATTATGTGTACTTGACCTCAAGTTACACTTCAAATGTTATGGCTAATAATATTACCTGGTTACCCTAACCGAATTAAGCAGGTTGGGATTCGAACCTTAACCATTGAACTACTTACTGTAAAACATTTCGTGTTTACAGTAAACAAAGTAATCACTATACTATCGTCGAAGCCTTGATGATCAATCATTTCGAATGCTACTTGCGTGTTGAATACTACTCTCAACGTAGTAGTATGCAATGGAGTTTTACCCAGAAATTACTGCCAGAGAGAAGAGTGTGTTGTCTGCAGTATGTTTATCATCAGGCTCACCACTTTTATCGGGCTTCTATATGGTTCCAATATTTATAACCAGTCGATTATGCTATGAAATAAATCTCCCCCCTTAGTTTCCGTCTATCATACTTAGACGAAACCTGTTTGTTCGGCGGTGGCGGTAATTAGAAGTCAAATATGGATTCGGTTAGATGAGTTTATTTCAAACAACCGTTCATGCAGGCAGACATGCCGGTGAGCCAGCTCGTCATAATGAGATATGCCTGAGCATTTGTAGTTAGACAAAAATAAGCTAGACATGTAATAAGCGAACTAAGCAATGCACACGCATACTTGAATAAAAGCGACTATTTGAGAAGGTCGGAAAATGTGTCAATAATAATAATAATAATAACTCGAATCGATTAGTTATGTTGTGTGAAGGCTTGAGGCCAAACCCTATGGGCTTGACATGTATATATATGCATTACGGGGTTGTGAAGATTGTTAAGTTACACATTTTTGAAACCATGAATCGATCAATGGTAGACCACCATTAGAAACCTGGAAGCATTGGACAATGGCCGTTTCGTCCTGGTATAGGACTCCTCAGCAGCGCGCATCCACGACTACTGCACCCCGCAGGATTCGAAGCCGGGACTTTCGGTATTGTAGGCGAACGCCTAACCATTGGACCACTGAGCCGTTATCTAACGGTGTTAATGTCTAACTTTATCAATTCACGGAGTTGCGCAACCTCATACACAGTCTTTGGTAGTTACTTTCTGCACCTGAACAAGTTGAACTTCACTGGTCACGTCTTCCCACTAGAACTCTGAGAAGATTCCTCACAAAGCTAGTCACTAGTGAACACAGGTAATTTGCATTACGAGGTTGTTGTGAAGATTGTTAAGTTACACATTTTTTACCGAAGGTCCTAGGTTCGAATCCTGCGAGGTGCAGGAGTCGTGGATGCGCACTTCTGAGGAGTCCCATACCAGGACGAAACGGCCGTCCAGTACATTCAGGTTTCAACTGTGTGTACGCCTTCTCTCCAAAACTATTACTTATCACTTATCATTATGATAATTACGATGATGATCACGACAGGCTTCATTTTCCTCTTTTTTTCGCATTCCCCAACCCCCTCCCCCCCGCCCCCGGTGTCAAGGTGGTACGAATATCAAGTAACCTATTAACATTACTTGATTTAGCAGGTCATTCAAAATATCAACGTACAACATTAGCTGGTATTGCTTGTAATCAACCATTAATTGGTATATTAGTTATATCTGCAACAAATGGTTTAACTAATATCGGTTTAGATCATATACAATTGATGTATGCATTAAATTTACCATTGATTATTGTACTGACTAAAATTGATCAATTATCCAATGGAATGGAACAATATCAACGAATTCAACTGATTTATCATCAATTAATCTATCAATTTAAACAAATTGAAAATGCATGGTCATATGCTGGTGATTTTCCAGTGTTGTCGCGGTCGTCGACATCGTCTACATTGCCAGTAACGACAACAACAGCGTTACAAACAAGTGAATATCAATCATTTTTAAATCAATGGAAATTGAATAATAGTATTAGGTAAATTTTTTGTACGTATTTATATGTATGATATTCATTGAAATGTCAGTTTGTACTATTTGATTGTAATTAAGTTGATCTCATGTGCTGTTAAAGGTTATGAGGGAGATTCTCAGTTTCTGGCTGCCTACACTGTGGAAAGCTGTTTTTTATGAGGGTCTTGGGTGTAGGAAGGATTTGATTTTGACCAAATTGGTCTCTCAAGCTGTTACGGGTATGAGGGCGGTTGTCATTTCCCGGCTGCCCAAACCGTGGAAGGGTGTTTCTTGATGAGCCTGAAAAGGAAGATAGATTAGTGTTGGTCTTAGAGACCTGGGAGTGTGACCGCAGAGTTCAAGGGACAAGTGGTTCAGGCCAGTCACGCACGGCCTTTTGATGAAAGGATTTTTGAGTATTAGCTCCGCTCTTAAAAGCCCTTAGTGGGCACTCTTACCGCCGAAGACGGAAATCCGTGAGGTAGGGTGAGGTGTGACATTTTTAGGGTCGACCTTTTCTAACCCTTCCTTCCTTGTGAGAAGGCAGCATCGCTGCAGATGCTGGTTGTCGGAGGGAAACACCTTACTGCTGTCACACCCCTCCATCACAGTCAGCAGTACGACTTCGCCCTCAGACCTTGAGTACCTGCTTTTAGTCTCATCGTTCTCCAATCGACCGGCCTGGCATGATTGGACCTGCAGGAACACATGTTCAAGCCAGTATAGCTCGGTTGGGTCATGACAATAGGCGAGCCCGACCACCACGTCAAGGTAGCAGCTACGGTCGGGGAGGGTCGTGGAAAAGGGATTTGAGTTAGTGTTGATCTTGGGAGCGAGAGCGTAGGACCTAATATAGCGCACGATCTTCCTAATAGAATTTGGTAATGTGTTACCGCCGCTCTTTAAAGATCTTACCACCGAGAACAGAAATTCGTGGGGGTATAAGATGGGTAAGTACGGATTGCATGTCATGGGAATCTTCACACAGTAAAACAATATCATCCGAAAAGCTTTTCTCTGGGAAACATATCCACACCTTCATCTACCATAGCTGTTTCCAGAACCTCATCGATGGTGAGATAAAAGAGAAATAGTGAGAGATTATGCAACCCTACTTAAACAACTCCACTGCTTGAATGAAACAGTAATAGTGAGGTAGTTGTATGCTCTAACTCTCTGCCTCAGTTGTTTGTAATATAAGGTCTTCAGAATGTTAATAAACTTCTCAGGCCTACCCTTCTTCGATAGACAATAATTTCAGAGAATAGTCATGTCCAAGGAATCGAATACACAACCCTGATGTCAAGAAATAATTATTTGTCAGTCAGTCAGCTGTAACGTAGAGAACTTCGCTCAAGTTGACCTACCACATTAGCCCTGAGATTCACTTATCGATTCAAATCCCATAGTAGTAGAGGTAGTCAAAGTATTGTCAGTAATCGGAGAGATTAGGGTTCAAAAATATTATTCAAGAAGTAGAATCTAGTGAAATAAACTTCAAAAGAAAAATATAAAGGTGATGAGGAATTCGAAAGATTAGAATTTGAGAGAAGACAAAAAGTGGATGCATCTGCGCCATCGCAAAGAAGTTTAAGCCTTGTCATTCAAGGTCTCTAACCATCGGTTACTTTCGTCTTGCGGATGCCAAACAGTTAGTCTACACTTACCAACACAGCTCAGTCTACTTGTCAGTGACTTCATGGATTTGTGCCGTGTTTTTGGTTTGGCCGCCCCTAGCTTTCGAGCGTGTTGATCGCTTGACTTATCTGGGGAGTCTCATCAGTACTGAGAGCCTGGTGACTGACGAAATCTCAGTGCGTATACAGAAAGCTCGATTGGCTTTTGCCAACCTGCGTCACTTATGGCATACGCGAAATATCCGTCTGTTAACCAAAGTACGAGTGTACTGCGCAGCAGTTCGCTCCGTTCTCCTATATGGCTGTGAAACATGGCCAGTGAGAGTAGAAGATATTCGTAGGTTACTGGTTTTCGATCATAGGTGTCTTCGAAGCATTGCTCGTATATCGTGGGACAACCGAGTAAGCAATGCTGTCGTTAGGAAACGAGTACTAGGTAAGGATGGCAGATCAATCGATGCAGTATTGAAACTTCATCAGTTGAGGTGGTTGGGACATGTGGTACGTATGCCTAACCACCGACTGCCTCGACGAGCTATGTTTTGTGGTGTAGGAGTAGGTTGGAAGAAAGTTAGGGCCGGCCTGACCAAAACATGGCAGAAATCCATGAAGTCACTGACTAGTGAACTGAGTCATGTCGGTAATTGTCGACTACCTGGTTGGGTTCCGTGAGACGAAAGTCACCAATGGTTAGAGACCGTGAATGACATGGCTCAAAACCGTTTGCAATGGCGCCAGTACATTTATTCTTTGTGTCCTCTCAAATCCTAATCTTCTGGATTAGTCAGCACCTCTACATTTGTGTGTCATTCCTTATCTCAATGAATTATGCTTCTTGAATAATATCTTCTAATCCTAACCTCTTCGATTACTTCTAATACTTTTACTACCTCTACTACTATTATGGGATTTGAATTGACAGTTAGACCTCTCTGTGCTAATGTGTAGTATGGCAACTTGAACTGATGTACGTACCGGTATGAAGTTCTATGCTGCATCTGACTGATTGACTTTCCCAATATCAAATGACAGACAGTGATGTGAAATAATAATAATGATAATAATAATAGTACATCGTTCATCCAAATCAAACATTTCTTTAATGTGTTTTTCCTCTCTCTCTCTCTCTGCATCTCTCTGTATTTCTGTTTTTTTATTCTACCTCTTTTTTTCCTTTCATCATCATGATGTATGTTATGACCTTGACTTCATATATTTTTTTTTAAAAAAAAAAAGAACAAAACCTGATTATCACATGAAACACCGTGAAACAGAGAGTGGGAGAAAGAGGAAAAAAATATTTTTATTCCGTAAAAAATTATTATTTAATGTTTGTTATTGTTGTTGTTGGTAGTAGTAGTTAGTTTTGTTTCATTCCGTTCCGTTTCGTTTCGTTTCGTTTCATATTTAACGAAGGAGAAATATTCCTCAATAAAATAAAAATAGAACAAGTAAAGTATAGAGAAATTCATTCTCTCTCTCTCTCTCTCAAATAACGGACATTTATATGAGAGGATGTTAAATGTACGTGCCCATAAATATTCTGGTCCCGACCGTAGCTGCTACTTTGACGTGGTGGTCGGGCTTGCCTATCGTGATTGATGACCCAACCCAGCTATATTGGCTGGAACACATGTTCCTGCAGGTCTTACCATGCCAGGCTGGTCGATTGGAGAACGATGAGACTAAAAGCAGCTACTCAAGGTCTGAGGGTGAAGTCATACTGCTGACTGCAGAGGGGTGTGACAGCAGTAAGGTGTTTCCCTCGGACAACCAGCATCTGCAGCGATGCTGCCTTCTTACAAGGAAGGAAGGATTAGAAAAGGTCGGCCCTAAAGATGTCACACCTCCCCTAACTGACGGATTTCCATCTCCTTGGGTAAGAGTGCCCACTAAGGGCTTTTAAGAGCGGAGCTAATCCTCGAAAAACGTTTCATAAAAAGGCCGTGCGTAACCGGCCTCAAGCAGTTGTCCCTTGGACTCTGCGGTCACGCTCCCAGGTCTCCAAGACCAGCACACTAATCTGTCTTCCTTTTCAGGTCCCTCAAGAAACATCCTTCCACGGTGTGGGCAGCCGGGAAATGACAACCGCCCTCATACCCGTAACAGCACACGAGACCGAATTGGTCGAAATCAAATCCTCCCTACACCCACACATAAATATTCTGGTACAGAGTTGATAGTGAAGAGAATCTGATGTCACACTTCTTGGCAATGCGATGTCTATCCAAACGAAGGATAAGTTACCTGAGTTGGCCTCCTCTATTTGGTGCACTTACAAATTCAGCTCCTCCTTTGGAGATAGCTATATCGGGCTTACTACTAGGCAACTTAACCAACGAATGAGTGAACATCTCCCAGCATGGTTTTAAGAAAGGGTCAGTCAGAAATAATACGCAGTCTGATCTTAGCTGTAGGGTTCGTCACTTAGTATGCTTGAGGCTATTGCGAGTTTACCTTAGTCGATAAACGCGAACGAGACTTTTACCAGCGTCCAGGTAGGCTACCTTGAATCCAAACCGTGAAACAGAAAGTATATTCTCCAAACACCCAGCAATCACAGTACAATCAAGCACACAACTCTCGTTTATTTATACATCATAGAAACGTCCTTAAGACAGTTAAGAAAATAGCACACTAAAATACACAGCAGTCAATCACCGCCATGGTTTTTCGTGGTGGGAGATGAAATCTCAAGGTCAACTGACCAACCCATGCTGGCGAACGTGAAGACCAAAATAAGGCATTTATCAAGCGAATTTTAGGGATCTAACATCCCCAACATTAGCAAACCTGGTTGATAGTGGTCATATTGTAGATATGTCTAGATCTTTTCGAGTGATCTATCTCGTATACCTCAATCATTTCCCAACGGAGTTCAATCCCGTCTCCTACACACATTGCAGAAGCCATAGGAATTCGTACATTCACCCCCAATTTATGTGTTCAGAAGAAATTCGTGACACCCCTATCTCTTCCGTGACCCGCTTATGACGTAGCTAACGATTGACCTTATATTTTTTATTTTTACACATTTGCTTATTACGTAATGTTTTTGATGATTATTTGAAGTGTATTCATCCACGATGTTTGACCTACTATTGATAAAACTTTAGTTATCATATTTTATAATTTCCTTACTACTATCAGTACACCTGTCGTCTTTCTACTATCCACTTGTACTTTTGGCCTATTATGCGTGTAGTGACGTAATAATCTATTTCATTTCATTGTGACAATTATCGACTCCTAAATTGCCTTGATTGGTTAAACATTTTCATACATAAATATTCATGTATATTAGACTAAAGCCTGATGCTATGGGTATATATATATATATATATATATATATATATATATATATATATATATATATATATATATATAGCTGCTGTCAGGAATAGTTCTACTCATTGTGTGTTCTCGTGGTGAGAGGATGTTATTTATAAAATTAAGAAGACGGAAATGATAATGCCCAGTCAAGGATTTAACCGGGTACTGCCTGTTGTACAAGGATGAGGTGATAGTTAAGAGTTTATCATAGATAACCAACTACTCTAGAGACACTATCTTCTCACTACAACAGGAGCATACCCAGAAAGATCGACCCTGAGATATAGTACACTTCATCTTGCTCTATGAATTTGTATATCCTGAAAAGTAAGACCTATAAACTACAGATATAACAAATTTACCACTAAGAAATATCCTTTCATTGGAGGTGTGTAGGCAATCAAGAACTAGCAACTAACTTCCTTATATCTTTGATCACTAACACATGACTAACTGTTATTTTTAAAGTTTGCATGTACAATTAAAAAAATTAAAAAAAAACAGCTGACTGTAGAAAATTTTTGTTTGACAAAACAACAACACTATTTCTATGGTCATTTGTTACAATCATATGATACCGTGGCGTGGTACGGCCAAAAGTGTAGGGATAGTCCTGTCATCCACTTCAAACTGCTCTCATATATTGCCGTGGGTATATATATATATAGAGTCAGTCAGGAACGATTTGATTTTGACCAATTTGGTCTCTCAAGCTGTTACGGGTATGAGGGCGGTTGTCACTTTCCGGCTGCCCACACCGTGGAAGGTTGTTTCTTGAGGCACCTGAAAAGAAAAATAGATTAGTGTTGGTCTTAGAGACCTGGGAGTGTGACCGCAGAGTTCAAGGGACAAGTGGTTCAGGCCAGTCACACACGGCCTTTTGATGAAAGGATTTTTGAGTATTAGCTCCGTTCTTGAAAGCCCTTAGTGGGCACCCTCACCGCCGAAGACGGAAATCCGTGAGGTAGGGTGAGGTGTGACATTTTTAGGGCCGACCTTTTCTAACCCTTACTTCCTTGTAAGAAGGCAGCATCGCTGCAGATGCTGGTTGTCCGAAGGAAACACTTTACTGCTGTCACACCCCTCCATCACAGTCAGCAGTACGACTTCGCCCTCAGACCTTGAGTAGCTGCTTTTAGTCTCATCGTTCTCCAATCGACCTACCTGGCATGATTGGACCTGCAGGCTCATATGTTCCATCCAGTATAGCTTGGTTGGGTCATGACGATAGGCGATCCCGACCACCACGTCAAGGTAGCAGCTACGTTCGCGATATATAGAGTAACTGTTAAGAAACTCCTACTCACTACCTTCTCGTGGCGAAGGTGTTGTTTGATGAAATTGAGGGGACAACAACACTTTTCTACGGTCATTTGTTACAATCATATGATACTCGGGTACGGCCAAAAGTAGGGATAGTCCGATCATCCACTTCAAACTGCTCTCATATATTGCTATGGGTATGTATAGAGTAACTGTTAAGGAAACTCCTACTCACTGCCTTCTCGTGACGAGGGTGTTGTTTATGAAATTGGGGGGACAACAACACCTTTCTATGTCATATGTTACAATCATATGATACCCTGATACGACCAAAAGTAGGGATAGTCCGGTCACCCATCTCAAAATGCTCTTATATATTGCCATGGGTATATATATACCAACTGTTAGGGAAGTCCTACTCACTACCTTCTCGTGGTGAAGGTGTTGTTTACGACAGTAAGAGGATAGAAAGTTAATTTCTCGTCAAAGCTTACAAGCGGGTTTGGCATTTGCGGAGGATCCCTATCTAGAGGAGTTGGATAACAAAAAATTGTGGTAGTGTTTCGTTCTCTGAGCTGGTTGTTTTGGTTGTGGAGCTTTCATTGTTCTTCGTCTGAACAACATCATCAGCACAAACTTCAGATAGAAGTGAAGCATTCGAATTTCTCCACGTTCTCTAGTGTTCTAGAGAATTTTTAGAAGCTTGGCACTCACGTCAATCAGCAATCAATAAACACATCCACATTGACTCAATTTATCAACCAATCGGAAAAATCATAGGTGACACAGGATCGCTCGGAGAGCGAAACACCACAATCATCCACCTGAGCTACAAGTTTTCTCCACCATCTCATAATAAAAAATGCTTATGATTTCATGTTAGTTGATTTTTTTTATCGAACAAATATTTGAAATAAGTGTTATTTGTTTATTAATGTAAGTGATTTACACTATGTCTCACGTATATCAGTCAGTATGTTTTCATTATAGAGTTGTGGAGATTTTGAAGTTTCATTCAAATCACGAGTGAATCAATGTTAGACTACCGTTATAAACTCTGTAAGTACTGGATGGTCATTGCGTCCTAGTATAGGACTATGCATAAGCAGTGCTCATCCACGAGTCTTGCAAGCCGGCAGTCATCCTCTTACGATTGAAGGCAGGTTGCCTATTGTAGACAATGGGTAAGGTTGCACAATTGGTCGGAGTTAGACATTACATACACTGTTGGACGCCGATTCATTAGTCAAGAGGTTAGGTGTTCTTATGCGAGACCGAAACTCCTGGGCTCGTGGATGCACACTGCTGTAGGATATAACGACGATGATGACACGGTGATCATCCAATGCTTTCAGGTTTCTAATAGCAGTCTAACCACCATTGATCAATGCAAAATGTTGCTTCAAGATTGGGTTGCATCGGCACCTGAACTAGTGATAGGAAGTGAAGTAGTCGAGCGTGTAGACTGCTTCACTTACCTGGGGAGTCTCATCAGTGCTGATGGCCTGGTGACTGACGAAATCTCACCTCGGATACAGAAGGCTCGATTGGCTTTTACCAACCTGCGTCACTGATGGCGTAGACGAGATATCCGTTTGCTAACTAAAGGACGAGTGTACTGCGCAGTGGTTCGCTCCGTCTTTTTTTATGGCTGTGAAACATGGCCAATGAGAGTAGAAGATATTCGTAGGTTACTGGTTTTCGATCATAGGTGTCTTCGAAGCATTGCTCGTATATCCTGGGACTCTCGAGTGAGCAACGCTGTTATCAGAAAACGGGTGCTAGGTAAGAGTGCTAGATCAATAGATGAAGTGGTGAAACATCATCAGTTGAGGTGGTTGGGACATGTGTTACGTATGCCTAACCACCGACTGCCTCGACGAGCTATGTTTTGTGGTGTAGGAGTAGGTTGGAAGAAAGTTAGGGGCGGCCAAACTAAAACATGGCAGAAATCGATGAAGTCACTGACAGGTGGACTTAGTCATCTCTATAGTTGTCGACTACCTGGTTGGAGTCCGCGAGATGATAATAATCGATGGTTAGAGACCTTGAATGACATGGCTCAAAACTGTTTGCAATGGCTCCGGTGCATTCATTCTTTGTGTTCTCTCAAATCCTAATCTTCTTGATTCTTCAACACCTCTAGTTTTGATTTTCTAAACTTTTCTCACTGAATCATACTTCTTGAATAATATCTTCTAATCCTAATCTCTCCGATTACTTCTAATACCTTTACTACCTCTTCTACTATTGGATTTGAATCGACAATTACATGTGTGTGTGCTGATGTGGTATGGCAACATGAACTGATGTACTTATGTACAAAGTTGTACGTTGCATTTGACTGACTGATCAATTCATAATTTCCATGAATTATTCTATGAACCGGAACTCCTGGGTTCGATTCCTGGGCTCGTGGATGCACATTGCTGTAGGATAACGATGACGACACCATTGATCAATTCATCATTTCTATAGACTATGTATATGATCTTCTCTTTTTGTTTTTTACTTACTAACAGAAATGATAACATGGATGATGATTTTATGCCACCATTTTTTCCTGTTTCATCTGTCACTGGTCAAGGTATTGATAATTTAATACATTTTTTAAGTCAATTAAGTTGTTTAAATCACCCGTCGATGTCGCCATCACCTTCTTCACCATTGTCATCCACCTCGAATTTATTTGAATCATTAAATGATAAACATCAGAAATATCAACAATTTGTAGATTGGAACAATATTTCCAATAAGAAATCCAATCAATCTACTCGTATATTCAGTAAAATTATTGAACGAATAAATTTGATGAAACAGTATCAATCGTATAATGGTACGCTGGTTTGGATAAATCAGGTGTTTACACAAATACCCGGTGTACTGAATCCAGTCATAGTTGGACGTGTACAATTTGGTCAATTATTTAATTATCAAATTCTATGGCTTGGACCAGATCAAGTAAGAATTGTGGAAAAATTGAAAACTGATTGTTTTTTTATACTTACTTACTTTTGCCTGTTTTACCCCCCTTCCCGATAGAGGAGCAGTTAGTCAGATGCAACGTAGAACTTTGTACGTACATACGTATATCAGTTCAGGTTGCCATACCACCTATTAGCACAGAGATGTAATTGTCAATTCAAATCCAATAGTAGAAGAGGTAGTAAAGGTATTAGAAGTCATCGGAGAGGTGTTAGGATTAGAAGATATTATTCAAGAAGTATGATTCAGTGAGAAAAGTTTAGAAAGACAAAACTAGAGGTGTTGAAGAAGAACCCAGAAAATTAGGATTTGAGAGAACACAAAGAATAAATGCACCGACGACATTAAAAACGGTTTTCAGCTATGTCATTCAAGGTCTCCTACCATCGATTATTATCATCTCACGGACCCCAACCAGGTAGTCGACAACTACAGACATGGCTCAATCCACTTATCAATGACTTGATGGATTTGTGCCATGTTTTGGTTTGGCCAGCACTAACCTTCTTCCAACCTACTCCTACACTACAAAACAAAGCTCCAGTAGATGAACATAGGTCGCTGACTAGCGTTCTTCAGCATACTCTGTCCCTGGGGTCTTCCTTTCTAGTTTCTGTCTGATTCTTGTCATGTTTGTCTATATTATCCGGCGTAATGTGTTGTTGCTTGGCCTTCCTCTTTTCTTTTTGGCTATCAGGATATCAGGTGAAAGCTTGTCTTGTGTCACAAGTTGGGTGATTTTCGCACTGTGTGTCTCATTCACTATGTATATGTAGTATTTTCTTCTTCATCGCCGGAATATAACAGCAGGTCTTCTGAAGCTAGTCTTTGTTGTCCAACCTGTGTCCCATATGTTTCACTGATTCGAAGCACCTCCAGGTTCCATCTTTTCATTTCTGCAGCAACCTGGATGGCTCTCTTGCTCTGTTGGTTTTGAACATTCCAGCTGAGGTCTTGTCTTGTGACCTAGATTAATAGTTGGTCTGGTTGTTTGAGGGGGAGCATCGGCCTCTTAACTTCCGAAGGAACTTCAACATGAGACTTCATAACTTTTCTAAATGAAGATCTTCTAACTCCCAGGGTAGCAGAGTTTAAATGGTTTGAATGATTTTTTTTCTGGTTAGCAATTTTTTTAGCGAGTTAGCTTTTCTATGTGTTGGAGTTGTCAGCCCCATGCTCAGCTGTTAGGATATTCATCCAATATCCTAAGAAAGTTATTGGTTAATTACTACTGGTCAATTTTATGGTCGTCCTAGATAGTAATGGCACGTGCTCCAATGTTGTTTCTTATTGGTTGTCCTGACTATCAATGTCAATTCAAATGATGCTTCTTATTGGTCGTCTTGACTATCAATATCACAGATTTCGATGCTGTTCCCTATTCGACCAAAATGTATAAATACGCATTATCTGTGAAGTTCTATGACCAGGAGGAGGACCCGGTCCCGGATCCTTAGTCCGGGATCCTGATTCTCTTCCGGACTCGGAACTCGTACTTTCTGAATGTTGTAGCATACAGGTTCTACTTCATATCAATAATCCGGATACCTAGTCCGAGATGCTGATTCTCTTCTGGACTTGAACCCCGTATTTTCTGGATGCTTGTGGGATACGTGTTCTACTTCCTATCAACTTTTCTTCCCTTGCTCAATGGGCTGTTAGGATAATCGGATTTGAGTAGCATGTCGTGTCACTGGATCCTCGAACCTCGCTCTCGTTTTCCGACTAAGGGAAACTCGTAATAGTTCAAGAATATCAAGTTGACGTGTTTACGTGCAGGCATAACATCAACCATCCTCGTTTATCCGGGCTCAAGTATAGGCCACCAACGTCCGTCCTGGGCCTTCCTTTCCCATTTCTGATCAATGGCTATTATTTCTTTTCATGTCTGTCTCCAACACTCAGCGTAATGTGTTCCTTGGTCTACCTATTTTCCTTTGGTCATGAAGATTCTATGTGAGGGCTTGCCCTGTGACGCAGTTTGGTGCTTTTCATAGTATGTGTCTTATCCACTTTCAGCGCTTCTACCTGATTTCCTACTCCACTGTAATCTGGTTCATTATCTCCCGAAGTAGGTTATTGCTGATTGTGTTTGACCAACAGATCTTCAGTATTTTGCGTGTAGACAACTGTTAATAAACACACACCTGTGTCTTTCAGATGACCGCTTTTGTGATCTTCCAAGTTTCTACTCCATACAGTTGACCTATTTTAACGTTTGTATTAAAAACCCATCATTCATCTATACGTTTGACTTTTATTTACACTATTTGTGTACATATTCCAACGGTTAGTATGTCAGTCAGTTGCAACGTAGAACTTCGTAACATATGTACATAAGTTCATGTTGCCATACCACATTAGCACAGAGATGCAAATGTCGAATCAAATCCCATAGTGATAAAGATAGTAGAGATATTAATGATAATGAAGAAGACTAGAGTTTAAAGATATTATTATTCAAGAAGTTTAATTCAGTGAGTTAAGGTTAGAAAGACAAAGGTAGAGATGCTGACGATTCCAGAAGATTAGAATTTGAGAGAGCTCAACGAATGGATGCACTTGCGCCATTGCAAACGATTTTGGACCATGTCATTCAAGGTCTCTAACGATTGATGACTTTCGTCTCGCGGACCCCAACCATGTAGCCTACTACATGTACCAACATGACTCAGTCCACTTGTTGGTTAGTATGATATACTACTTACATTAAATTAAGTAGACTGTACACATACTCGTGATTTATTAATTCATCGCGCACTTACATAACATTTTTTTTTGTTCTGATTTCAATTTTTTCCCCATTATTAGTTTGGTGATTTTTATCCAGTTCAAATTGTTAGTTTAATGCATCATCGTCAATTGCACGAAATTGTCTATGCTGGTCAATCAGTATCAATGGAAGTGTATTTTTTACCGAAATCATGGAATACTATGAATGAGAAACAACGTCAGTTGATATTGCATAATATCTCTTCATCGATTACGTCATCACCAGCATCGGCAACAGCAGCACCAGCATCGTACAGTGCAGTAAATCATCGTAAAAAATCGTTGATTTCATTATTTGACAATGATGTTGAACATACCACTGAAAATGAAGAGAATATTTCACATGATCATAATCATGATGTGAATAGTTTATCCGTGACATCATCATCATCGTCCTCATCATCATCATCAACGACAGCCAACACAGCAACAGCAGTTGATATTTATCAATTTTATTCACCAATTAAAATACGTCGTGGTATGATTCTACTCACTTATCCAATGTTATTATCCACTTACAACACAGTATCAACATCGCCGGCAGCTCCATCCGATAGGATCGACAGCACTACCGCCGCTGCTACTGCATTATCGCCACAGCCGTCACCATCATGGCATGAACAATCGTCGTCGTTATCGTTGACAGGGAACCACCAACTACAACATCATGATTCGATTCAATTCACTGTAGTATGGACAGTGAAATTACAGTTGATGCCTCGTCGTTTACCAATTGTTTCATTTAAATTAGGCAATCCACCAGTGATATTAACACCGATTCCATTGATTGGTCAACGTGTTAATATTTATGCTGGTTGTATATGTCAAACTGGTATTATACTGGAGAGTAATACTGATAATGACGAGAATCATAGTAGTAGTAAATATCAACAATGTGAATCTGAGCAAAAGTCTACTACTGCAACTAATACTACTAATCATGATGACGGCAGTGATGTTAGTAATAAGGTTGGTGAACAAGAAAATGATTATTTTCATAGTTACTTAGTAATTTGCTTACCTACGTCTGTTGTTATCCCCCGCCCCGCAATGGAGCATAGGCTGCCAATCAGCATTCTCCAACCTTAATCAGTCAGTCAGTCAGATTTACACTTGGATGGTAGGATTGGAGTGAACTGTTGCACTGTTAACTCGTCCTTCGATTGGTGAACGGATATCTTGCATTGCTCGTATATCCTGTGACACCCGAGTGAGCAACACTGTTATTAGGAAACGGGTACTAGGCAAGGATAGCAAATCAATAGATGGAGTAGTGGAACTTCATCAGTTGAAGTGGTTGGGACATGTGCTGCGTATGCCTAACGGCCGACTGCCTCAACGAGCTATGTTTTGTAGTGTAGGAATAGGTTGGAAGTAAGTTAGGGGTGGCCGAACCAAAACATGGCAGAAATTCATGAAGTCATTGATGAGTGGACTGAGTCATGTCGGTAGTTGTCGACCATCCGGTCGGATTATGCGAGATGATATTAATTAATGGTTTGAGACCTTGGATGACATGGCTCGAAACCGTTTGCGATGGCGCCGGTGCATTTATTCTTTGTGTTTTCTCAAATCCAAATCTTCTGGATTCTTCAACCCCACTAGTTTCGTCTTTCGAAACTTATCTTACTGAATCACACTTCTTGAATAATATATTCTAATCCTAACCTCTCCGATTACTTCTAATACCTTTACTACCTCTTCTACTATTGGATTTGAATTGACAATTATATCTGTGTGCTGATAAGGTATGGGAACATGAACTGATGTACTTACGTACGAAGTTCTACTTTGCGACTGATTGACTGACTGACTATAAGTGACGCATGTTAGTCATATTTAGTCGAGCCTTCTGTATGCGTGATGAGAGAGTGGACAACCTTGACGAATACCTCTTGATGACAGTTTGCCATAAGCTCTCACTCGACCTGTATTGTTCGAGTGGAGAGCTTATATGCATACGGTCAATGTACTTCTTTGGTACATCTTTTAATAAAAGACACTGCCACAGAACCTCGCGGTCGAGAAACACTACTTTTGTGCGGCATCTTTGTTCTAAGACCTGACGTAGTGTGAAAATGTGGTCAACGCATTCACATCCAGGTCGAAAACCAGCCTGGTTTTCTCTAGTCTGCTCTTCACGAGCTTCTGTTAAGCGTCGAAGCATTATCGAGGCCAATATACTATATTAGTTACGATTATTCCGCTGCGGTTGTCGCAAGAGTACTTTTGTTCTGTTTTGTTAGTTGGGACAACCAGCGATTGGGACCAGTCAGATGGGATTACGTCCAGTTCCCAGATTGTACCTAAGATACTCGGTCAATGTAACTGCTACAACTGGGCGACCATACTCAAAAATCTCAGGGGTAAGCCTATCAGGCCCTGCCGCTCTACCTAGCTTTAGATTTCCTATAGCTTTTTCAACCTCATTAAGAGTTGGACGACATGCATCAATTCGCCATTCAGGTTGACTGGGAATCGTGGGCAATGGAAGTGTTGTAGTGAACGGGAACACAGGTTGGGCAACCGAATTGTATTTAACGAAAATTACAGAGTTACTCAGTAAAATCGGAAAACCATATCGCTAATCGTTAATATACAAAATATCAGTTCATCATATCGAACTGTACTGTTCCTGTTGCAAAACATCAATCCATCGTCACTATTCATGTGATTCATACAAATTCCATTGTGTTCTAACTCTTCCTTTCTTGATCTTCCCCCCATCTTCTACTGCCAGACATTACGTTGACACTCACGTCATATACTACTTATAAGTAGCTCACATCAGCACAGAGATGTAATTGTCAATTCAAATCCAATAGTAGAAGAGTTAGTTAGTAAAGGTATTAAAAGACATTATTCGAGAAGCATGATTCAGTGAGAAAAGTTTAGAAAGTCAAAACTAGAGGGTTTAAATAATCCAGAAGATTAGGATTTGAGAGAACACAGATAATAAACGCACCAGCGCCATCGCAAACGCTTCTGAGCCATCTCATTCAGGGTCTCTAACCATCGATTATTATCATCTAGCGGACCCCAACCAGGTAGTCGAAAACTACCGACATGACTCAGTCGACTTGTCAATGACTTCATGGACTTGTGTCATGTTTTGGTTTGACCGCCCCTATCTTTCTTCCAATCTATTCCTACACTACAAAACAAAGATCGTCTAGGCAGTCGGTGTTTAGGCATACGCAAGACATGTCCCAACCACCTAAACTGATGAAGTTTCATTACTTCATCGATTGATCTGCCATCCTTACCTAGCACCCGTTTCCTAATAACAGCGTTGCTCACTCGGGTGTCCCACGATATACAAGCAATGCTTCTAAGACACCTATGATCGAAAACCAGTAACCTACGAATATCTACTCTCATTGGCCATGTTTCACAGCCATAAAGTAAGACGGAGCAAACTACTGAGCAGTGCACTCGTCCTTTAGTCAGCAAACGGATATCTCGCCTACACCATAAGTGACGCAGGTTGGCAAAAGCCAATCGAGCCTTCTGCATCCGAGCTGAGATTTCGTCAGTCACCAGGCCATCAGCACTGATGAGACTCCCCAGATAAGTGAGGCGGTCTACACGCTCGACTACTTCACTCCCTATCACTAGTTCAGGTGCCGATGCAACCCAGTCTTGAAGCAACATTTTGCATTTCGAGGGTGGGAACCGCATCCCGAACATGCTTGCATTGTTGCTTAGGGTGGTCAGAAGACTGCATTTTGTCAGCGTCTTCACCAAGTAGGACTATGTCATCGGCATATTCTAAGTCAATAAGCGAGTCTCCTGGTAGAAGGTCTACTGAAAATTCAGACGAGGATAAGGTTATATTTGGAGCATGTCTATGATAAAATTAAACAAGAATGGAGAGAGTGGACATCCCTGACGGACACCACTTGATGTAGAGAATTCCGGTGACAATTCGCCATAAGCTCTCACTCGACCAGTGGTGTTCGAGTGAAGGGCTTGTATAAGGTTAATGTACTTCTTTGGTACACCTTTCAATGACAGACACTGCCACAGAACCCCTCGGTCCACTGAGTCGAATGCCGCCTTAAGGTCCAGGAAAACAACCTCTCTATGTGCCCAACGCTTGCTCCTTTATCCTTGCCTAGAATTTTGTCAGTCATCTATTTCTAGACGGACTCCAGGTGGGGAGAGTTATTCATTCATTGTAATATCTGATGTATATATATATATATATATATACATGTTTATTGATTTTTCTGTTTTGTCTTTCCTTACTAGACTCATTTAAACAATCCCACATATATTTTATTACGTTTTACACGTCATCCAGAATTAGTTGAAATCGGTCGACAATTTATATTAACATGGAATGGAAATTTAAAAGCTATCGGTTATGCAATTGAATTGATTGATCCTGTAAAACAACAACAACAATATTATCATTGTACATTGAATGACACTACTAATACTACTACTGATACTACTAATAATACTACTAACACTAGTAGTACTAGTAGTACTGCTATTGCTATAAATGATTCAATGTCGAATACAACAACAACAACCATTGATTCAACAATTTGTTGGAAAAATTATTATAAACAAAATTATTCCATGTCATTTAATGAAAAAGATCATCATCCTAATGACGATGACTGTTGGTCATTTGATTGTAGCAACAATACTAGTAGTGGTGGTGGTGGTACTTTGTTTAAATATCAACCGAATTCAATCAATGCATTCAATGATCAATGTAGCAATTTATCGTCATCGTTGCCATCAGCAACAACAACAACAACACTAGCATCCATGATGGAATGTTATGAAGAGTTGAGTAATCGTGAAAATACCGATATGATGAATGAACATTTTTTAAACAAAGTGACGTCATCATCATCGATGATGAGGATGATGAATTCATTGTCCAATATGGAATCGATGCGACAAGATCACAACAATGTTGATATTGATCATAATAACACAAACAACATAGAAGATAACATTAATGCTGAAACAATGTCGTCAGTAACGTCAACTACGACAAGCACAACCACGACAACAACATCGACACTGTCAAATCATAAAAATAAAACGAAACGTCGACGTCATCGTCATCGTGGACATCATCGACATAAACTGAAAAAGCAACAACATTCATGAAAAAACATTGCGAAACAGAGAGAAAAGATTTTTACATGTACCTACCTACCTACACGTTGTTGTTGTTGTGGCTTTTTGTATACACATCATCCGTCTTAGCAAGCAAGCAAACAATTCGGTAGTATTATTCTTGAGTTGTTTATTTCTCTCCCCCCTTTTTATTTTTTAATTATCTGATTCCTTTTTTTCTAATTTAATATATTGTAATGATTAAAAAAAAGAGAACAATTATCCTGTTATTATTCCTTTTATTTTGTGTGTGGCATCAATATCCTGCTTCCTTTGTGTGTGTAGCATTGTGATTGACAAGCAGTGGTGAGCAGTGAACTGGACGTGGTGATGAATGCGTCAGTGAGTGAGTGAGTGAATGAATGAGTGTTTGTGTCTCCTTCTCCTCCTCTTCTGTAATATTTCTTTCTCATTTGATTGACATTTTATTTCAGAAGAATCATTGGATGGTCCCTTGACGTGAGTGTGTGCACGCTATGTGCGCGTGCGCGCGCGCATGCTGTGTGTACTACTTTCTCCATACAATCAATGCAACAATAAAATTAGTTTCAATTGTCAAATAGGTAAATAGTTCATGAGTTATTAGTTTATTAGTTAGTTAGTTAATGAGTTAATATATTTATCTGTTGGTTTTTGCTATACTTATTCCTGTGAACATTGTCACATTGTCTTTGGTCTGTTTCAACTGAATTCATTTTGTCTACCTATAACTTTCATTGTTAAACTTGTTTACATTTCATCGCATCACATCACATTACACAAAATGAATGAATTTGTATGTATGATTTTGACATTTCATTCTTTATTCTCTTTCTAACTCACATAAAATGTGAACGAGTCGTCAATCCCATCCAATCCAATCAGCCAATCATTTTGTGTGTCTCTGCATGTCTGTGTCTGTGTGTGTCGGATTTCTTTCTTCATTTAATTTTTATTTTGTGTGTATATGTTTTATTATTCAGTTCTAATTCAGTGTGTACTGACTGACGTATACAATTTACAACAAAATACTTTTCTTTATTTGACCAATAGAGTGAGTGATATTTCAATCTTCGGCGGTGGGGTTGATGAAGTTGGGAAGGGGAGGTGTACTGGTTTTTCTTCTAGAAAAAGACTCAGAAAACCGTTGTGAACATGGGCTTTTGCCAACCTGTGTCACTTATGGCGTAGGCGTGATATCCGTTTGCTGACTAAAGGAAGAGTGTACTGCGCAGTAGTTCGCTCCGTTCTCCTATATAGATGCGGAACATGGCCGTTAAGAGTAGAAGATGTTTGTAGGTTGCTAGTATTCGATCATAGATGTCTTAGAAGCATTGGTCGTGTATCATTGGACAACCGTAGAAGTAATGCTGTCGTTAGGAAACGAGTCCTAGGTAAGGATGGCAGATCAATAGATGAAGTAATGAAACTTCATCGTTTGAGGTGGTTCGGACATGTGTTACGTATGCCTAACCACCGACTGCCTTGACGAGCTATCTTTCGCAGTGTAGGAGTAGGTTGGAAGAAAGCTAGGGGCGGCCAAACCAAAACATGGCAGAAACCCATGAAGTCACTGACAAGTGAACTGAGTCATGTTGGCAGACGTAGGCTACCTGTTTGGGGTCCGCGAGACGAAAGTCACCAATGGTTAAAAACCATGAACGAAATGGCTCAAAATCGTTTGCAAAGGCGCAAGTGCATCCATTCTTTGAGCTCTCTCAAATCCTAACCGTCTGGATTCGTCAGCACCTCTACCTTTGTGTTTCTAACCTTATCTCACTGAATTATACTTCTTGAATAATAATATCTTCAAACCCTAGTCTTCTTCATTACCATTAATACTCCTACTATCTTTATCACTATGGGATTTTATTTGACATTTGCGTTTCTGTGCTCAAGTGGTATAGCAACCTGAACTTATGTACATACGTACGAAGTTCTAACGTTGCAACTGACTGACTGTGAACATGGGATTTTGTTGGGCAATCGTAAGAATACCATATGTGTTTTGGCGCGTAGGAGGCGTCGCATCAGGAGAATGGAATACGTTTATGCGCTGCGTTTTGTTTGTGGTCGGACTCACTAACTATGTGGGTCGTCGGTATTGGATATATGCTTAGACGTCGTATACTGTTCGTCCTAATAATTGTTACTAGATAACGCCCGAGGGTGTATAAATTAGGAAAAGAATACGAAGCATTGAAGACGTTTATTATCGCACTACACTTAGTACACAAAGCAAAAATGATATACGATTATCGGAGAGCAAGCGAGCGGGTCAGTGACCGCGCTAGTGAGTAGGATTAAAATATATACATAGGAAACTGAATGAGTCGTCCGATTATTTAAGAGGCTAACATCAAAGCGATTAGAATGAATATGCATGTAGGCGGTACCCGACCGTAGCTGCTACCTTGAAGTGGTGGTCGTGCTTGCCTATCGTGATCACCCAACCGATCTAGCTATGTTGGCTGGAACATATGTTCCTGAAGGTTCTTCCATCTGCTAGTAAGGTAAACCAGGGGGTTAGAATGAAGTCATGGATCTCAATAGCATCTACCGAACTGATAGATGCTCGAAAACTCACCTCGCCTGGCTCTGAGTACGATGAGGAGTGGAGTCAGCTTAGACGTAGGCTGATAAAAGGCCTACGCAATGATCGAGAACAGTGGTGGGTGGCAAAAGCGAGAGAGATGGAAAACGCAGCGGCAATAGGCAACTATTTAAACTCATCAAGGAAACTGGGATTAGGAACCCAAATGTGGGCAAGACTATTTCGGAAAAGGATGGGAATATTATCCATTCTCAATCCAGGAGACTGGACCGATGGGCAGAACACTTTAGGGATCATTTCAACTGGCCTCGAGCCACACTTCGGTTACCCACGATCTCCAGTCATCCTGAATGGCAAATCGACTTAAGTTCCCCTAGTCCTTAGGAAGTTGAGAAAGCTTTAGGAAATCTGAAGCGAGGACGAGCTGCAGGTCCTGGCTGACTGACCCCTGAGATGTTTAAGGATGGTGGTCCAGTTTTAGCAGCTAGATTGACTGAGATCTTAGGTAAAATCTCGATCTACCTGCTCATACAAATGTGACAATACCAATCGCACAACGGTACAGATAAGTTGTTGCAATACGAGTGACTTAGTTAAATAAGTTAATCAAAACGGTTTCATCATATTAAATGCAAATAAACTCAAATGCATGTGGAGGTACTACACGTTACATGCACATCGATACGCCTGTAGTTCATATTTGTTACTACGACCTGTCACTTATGCGTTAAATGCCTATCAGTGGTACATTAAACTTTTATCTATGCAATTCATGACGTACACAAGCACCTCTTCTTTGTATTTGCTACCTATATTCATAGCAGTATTTATTAGGCCTCATTTTTTGATACAGGGCGGATTTTCGTTTATATATGAGCCTTTACAAAAACATACATAAGCTGAACCTCATGCAATTCATCTGTGCATGTATATACATTGCGTAGAACTATACAGTTTTTTTGAGCTTCGAAGAGTGGAATGCGAGTGATCGTGATACAGCAAACTGAATGAATGATCATTTCGATCTTCGATCAAAAAGGGTTCTCCTTTTCACCCAGCTACGCTTAGAAGAAAGCCTTAGGTAGATCATGATAATAAATACTAAGACGGTGTTTATCTTTCCATTTACTGTTCATTGTGTGTTACGCCTGCACGTAAACATGTCAACTTGATATACTTGAACAATTACGAGTTTACCTAGTCGGAAAACGAGAGCGAGGATCCGGTGACACGACATGCTACTCTCTAATCCGATTATCCCAACCTCCATATTTAGTAAAAGAAGACAAGACTAGATATGAAGTAGAACCTGTATTCTACAAGCATCCAGAAAGTACGAGGTCCGAGTCCAGAAGAGAATCAGTATTCCGGACTAGGGATCCGGGACCGGGTACTGGTCGTGATCATAAAACGTTACAGGTAATGCGTATTCATACATTTAGGTCGAATAAGAAACAGCATCGAAATCTGTGACATTGACAGTTAAGACGACCAATAGGAAGTAACATTTGAAGTGACATTGATAGTCAGGACAACCAATGATAAACAACATTGGAACACGTGATATTGATATCTAGGATGACCATAAAATTGACCAGTAGGAATGAACCAATAGGAATAGACTAATAATAATTCTCTTAGAATATTGGATGAATATCCTAACTTTGTGTCATTCTTAAGGTTTAATTATAGTATATGAACGCTCTGTCATGATTCTAGAAATTACCACAACGAATTCAAGCTGTTCATTTATCAACCAGTCAGAAAATTATCGGGAAAACAACTACATAAATGGTGCTGTAGTGAAGGAGAACTCAGGTGAGGGCAACCGAATTGTATTTAACGAAAATTACAGAGTTACTCAGTAAAATAGGAAAACCATATCGTAAATCGTTAATTTGCAAAATATCAATTCATCATATAGAACTGGATTGTTCCTGTTGCAAAACATCAATCGATTGTCACTATTCATGTGTTTCATACAAATTCCATTGTGTTCCCACGACTCTTCCTTTCTTGATCTTCCCCCCATCTTCTGCTGCAAGACATTACGTTTCTTACTCGCGTCATATACTACTTATAAGTAGCGCGCACCACAGTACATCATTATTTGTATATAGTTTCGAATCTATTGATATCTTGAATAGGTACTTGTTTTGATATTCCGAAAAGACAACAATATACAAATCCCACAGTATATCTCTAATACATTCATTTTCCTGAACACGTACAGGGTCACAGTGTCGTATTTAGTTGTCTATCTCTCTTTCGGTGTTTTATTTGAAATACATAGAACTAATCTGAATGGAAAATTTTATCTGTAATTTTGAATTTGCCGCATCGTTATCGCTGCTGTAACAAAATAAAAGTTAGTATTAAATTTTATGCAAATTTCTTCCGTGTTGATTGATTTTTCTCTAAATTGTACTCATGCTATTCCTAATTTGTTTGCAAATGAAGTTTGACTACTCAAAGACATTTATAAGTAGTTAAACACTATATTTCTAAAAACACACAAATCACTAGATTCAACGATCTACTAAAAATTAGAACTGTCCTATGATTATGAAACATATGTTTGTCAATGTAATTGTTATGTTCGTCACTTGGTACGTTTGAAGTTATTATGAGTTCACCTTAGTCGATAAACGCGAACGAGACAATTACCAACGTCCAGGTAGTCTACTTTGAATCCCAAACTCTAAGACAGAAGTCTTGGTAAGCGTAGAAAGTATATTCTACAAACAACCAGCAATCACACAATACAATCAAGCATACAATTCTCGTTTATTTATACATCATAGGAACGTCATTGGGACAGTTTCGAAAACAGCGTACTAAAATACACAGCAGCCAATCACAGCTATGGATTTCGCTGGGGGGAAGTGAAATTTCAAGATCAACTGATCAGCCCATGCTCGCAAACGTGAAATCCAAAATAAGGCATTTATCAAACGAGTTCTGGGGATCCAACATCCCTAATAGTAATATTGGTTTATTTTTTAGGGCACTTGACTTCTCAAATAATTTGCTTTGCGCAGCTGATTACTTTCATAAAAAGAAAGTTGGTCATCTTCACCTACTCAAATCATCACACTTCATGAACCTCAAAATGATAGATATTAGGTAGAAATTGTTGGTGACAGAGTCGATCTACTCGTCATGTTCATAGCTCTCAAAGGGATTTTCTCTATTCAATATAAATTTTTTTGATCCAAATTATCTAAAATGTTTTCAACTATGTGATCTCCATGATTATTTTCTATAAAAGAAGCGAAGATTCATAGTCGAATGTATCGCCGTGTAATCTATGAGTTAATGAGGTAGAACAATGAAAATTATTCATGAATTGGTCATTGTTAGACCACCATTAAGAACCTGAAAGCACTGGATGGGATATTTTAGAGGTTAGGCATTCGCGTGCAAGACCAGAGGTCCTGGGTTCGAATCCTGCGAGTAGCAAGAGTCATGGATGCGCAATGCTACTGAGTCACAT